GACTAAGTATTAAAACGATTTTTGCTGTCATGTGTTATGTCATGTGAAGTATAAAACGTGAAAACAACGGTCGATTGCAATGAATTTAGTTTCGATAAAGATTTACCTAATTAATGGTACCTTTGAATTAACTTTTTTTGCATTAATTTCTCACTCATGTGTACCCAATTTGTATTATTTAATGGAACACTTCAGCGTCAGTTATAAACTGGCGTTTGGGGAATGGAAATGTTCATAATGTAAAAGCCCGCATTCGAGTATAACATCAAATATTTAATATCACAGATGGAGTTACAAATGCATTAGGCAAATACCGAGAACAACTTAAATTTATATTTGATTATTTTCATTTAGAAAAATTGTTTGTGGAAGATAGAAATGCACAACACTTTTGTAGCTTATATTAAAAAGTATCATAATTATTAGCTCATGTGCTTTCATGAATAGAAAAGAATTATGGTTTTCAGACCATTCGTTTGCTAAAAGATTCAACAAAACTGATATTTTACAATTGTTGTGATATAATAATTTGTTTCATGAATTTTACCTGGAATTATTATCAACTATATTGATGATTGAAGTCATGAATTTTTATGTTTCTGTTGTATGAATCGCATTTTAGGATCGTTCCCATCCACTTTAATGTAATTTTCCATATACCTACCATCATCATTTCAAATAATGAATATTAGAAGCAAAATTTTTGTTTACAAAAAGATTCACAGTTGAGTCTAATTTGTATTTACAATATGATAGTAGTAATATTTAAAAAGATACATGTCTCTGGAAATCTTTTTATAGATAGGTATACACTATAATGAGGTTCAATATACATATTATTTATTGATTATTATTATTGTCAGCATAACGATTAAGAAACATAATTTATTAAGACTACGTACAACTAATTTGTAAGTTATTATTTAAAATTTCATTTATCTCCTTGATGTTAAGAGTGTTTAAGAAAAAGCCTAATTTATTTCTCGTTTGCTTGTTTCCTACTTGCATACAAATTACACATGGCAGAACAGTATGCTAATTTCTATAATAAGAGTTCTTAAGTAATTAATTTTAATATGACAGACTAAATAGAACGCTATTTAGTTGTCAAACAAACCACATAAACAACAACCTGAATACAATATTTGTTTATCGAGAAAAAGGGAATCGTCTAAAATAATTCCAGCTAAATCACTAAGAAACAACCCAGACGTCATATGGCAATTGTAAAAGTTCAGATTTATTTAGTATTTCATAACACTTCTATACTACACACATTTAAAATGAGATCAGAAATAATACAATAAAAATTCAAATGATACTATTATAAAAAATCTTTTAATATACAATGTTTTTTGTGTCGTAATACATAGTTTATTAGAAGGAACTAAATGTAATGAAAATGTTAAACACTTTGTTTTCAAAACGATGTTTGCTATAAATTCAAACGACAAAGAAGCGTCACCAAACTATATAAGTTTAAAATGATAATGAAATACATATATACTTATAACTATATTCTTCCTGATTTCGGGTTACATATTTATAAACCTTATTGTTTGCTTAGGACGAGTATTTGTACGTAGACACTGACTCATCAAATTTCATTTAAATAATTACGAAGTCATATAACTATACACGAGCTACAAAATATTAATAAAAGAGGAAATAATTTGTAATACCATTAAATGATTTATACAATAGATTTTCGAAATGAACATCGTCAGAATATAGATTACCGTTCGTAGCTTTGAAAGCAAATATTCCATTTTGTTTACCCATTACTCAAACGACCCAATGGAGGTCTTAGTCAACAGATACTTTTGGTTCATTAAATCAAGTTTACTCAGCACTTTAGCAGTACGAAATTCATCGAACTTGCTAACTCTACCCAAATAAATGGTGTCTGTTTACAGGAACTTTAACTTATTGCATACACGTAATAAAATTGTTTTCACGTAAAATAACTCTAATTAAAGTTTAAGTCACCACATTTAATAATAATATTTATTTTATAATAACAATTGATTAAATTTATATTTTATTTAAAATATTGTCACTACAAACACTCCCCATATTCTTACATCGGTCGATGTCTAGCAGTTACCATCATGTGGATTATCTAGCCGTCTATCTAACATGCCAAAACTTATATGTACGTTATATTTTTCTGTCTGCATAGCTTTAATAGACGCTAACTTAACAAAAGCCTCTGACTCCGAACATCCGTACCTACATAGCATCAAAATCGTTCCTTTCACACACTATCTATTTCATTTTCTTCTACTTACCGTAGATTATACGAGTGCAATGAAAACTACTCAATATTCAATGGATTACCCACACGTGTGTCGGGTCCATCGCGTTGCAGGGAGAGGAGCTTCAACAGTGACCTGGGACTTGCGACCCAAGTGTAGGTTTAAGAGGGGCCTGGCTGACGCGCGTTATCACATGTAATTTTTAATACTATATTATTTTTGTTAAGTGATGCAACGGGCCTTTTAAACTTCTAGAGAAATAAAAGTATAAGCTTTAATGAGAAGAATTAATTTAAAAGTATGTGTTGATAAAAAACTTAATTTACAATAACAATTAAGGATTTTCTGTTATAAATTTTTTCCTTATTACTTCATCAGTTAGAAATAAAGAGACACCTGTTCTTTTTGCACCATTAAATCTTCAAGTGGAGTCAATTACGAAACTCTTAAGAGTAAATTTTTCTTTGAGAACAATTTCTCTTTAAATCTTAGACAAAGTTTGTAAAAGAAATTCTAAGTTTTCCCATTTGCGGTTCTCGTTTATAGAACTTCCTAAAGTTGCTGCTTGTTTTCATTTTTTTCTAAACTGTACAAGATTTCAAGCTACAAGTTACCGTGAAAATTTCGTTTAAGTTCAAAGCTTTATTTATTTAGAATTTATAAAACTGCACTTAATTTAATGTACGTTGGACAGTCAAAGAGCAATGTAAATAATAATTTATTAATTAGGAAAGGAACTTAGAAGACAAGATAATTGGACATTACTATTAAAAATGTTTTTATACTTTGGGCACATATAAAGAAAAATAAATATTTTTTTGTGTTGCAACATTATGAAGATCAAAAGGGCACTTCTTAATGTTGGGCTTGCGACACAGACTTATTTTGTGAATATATATTCTTGGTAGAGAATGCTCTGTATTTGGATATCACGTATAAGTATTCAGTCGTTGCATAGCGACGCAATATACTCTTACCTCATCCTAACTGGATAGTCCAGATTGTTATGACGCCTTAGTAAACTAATTACATCTACCTATTTCTATCAACTTGAGGATCTGTCACCGGTAGTTAAATACAGCTTAGCGATTCATTCTTTAGGTTTTGAAGGCATTTCAAATCCCTATGAACGAAAGCTTCACTTGCATCCCTCATTGTAGGTCTTAAACAAGTTTTTTTAAGGAACACTTTATGCCTAAGTATAATAATACATTATAAAGTCAGTGGTGGCCTAGTGGTTAAAGGCCCGCCTCTCGTACACGAGGGCGCGGGTTCGATCCGGGCAAGTACTAATGTGATTTTTCCGAGTCATATGTACTTACTAAGAGTATTTAGACACCACTGACAGACGGTGAAGGAAAACATAGTGAAGAAACCTGGACTGATATTTCACAAATATACGTTTGAAATCACCAACCTGTTTTGAGCAAGCGTGGTGATTCTTAATGCTCAAAACCTTCTCCATGTGAGAAGAGGCTATTGTTCAGCAGTGGGCCCTGATAGGCTGATGAGTGATGACGATGACGATAATTTTACTTCACTTACTCAGGAACTAAGGTTAAATAAAAAACTAGCGTTGTACTATTGAAGGTTACATACAAGTATGAAAGGAAACAATTTATTATAAAACAAAAACATTGTGGACATTAAAGAGGTCATCAATCAAACACAATGATCAATGTGAAAAAAATAATAATTTATTAAGGACTAAGTATAAAAAAAATACATAATTACATCACATATATTATTATGTATTTAACCGTGATAGATTAAGGTACGTATGTAAGGAGTATTTATTGTACGCTCTGCAGAAATTGATTTGAAAGTTTATTCTAAAAAACTTAAATATAGTAACTAATATAATTTCTACAAACTTTTAGATTTCACTAAAAAAAAATCTGCAAAATGTTTTGATCTTGAGAGTAGATTTAAATTTGACAACAAAAACTATAGCTCTGAAAATTTTTCTTTATCTATTAATTAGAAAAAACTTTCACCCAATTATCTGTGTACATATGATTTTGGACTATATCTCACTATGTGAAATTCACTTATATATTATAAATGATTAGAATTTATATTATTATAACATATTATTTACATATACATAGAATCTTTATATAAATATATGTTTTATATCTATCCATATAGAAATCACAGATGTCAATTTATACCTTAATAAGGCCACACTTCTCATACTAATATGTATTAAAAAATTTACTTTATATAAAATATATAACAATAATATATTATGTAACCCATGGAACATTAAATTCACGTCAATTGTTGTTTATATTAAATAACAATGCTTAGGTAATATAAATATTGTAAACATATATAAATTTTGATTTTAAAGTTGCCCATCACATTATAAAGACCGAGTTTTATTTACATTTTTGTATAATCATCACTTGCAAAACTGGTTAGAAATATTGAGGAAAAGCACTTTAAATCATATTTGTTGAAGATTTCATAATAATTACTAAGTTTTATTATTATTAAACATCTAACCACATATGTAACTCTGTACTTCGCTGCTGTTTTACATTTTCAGTCATGAACTATATATATTGTAATGAGAAGTGCATATTAATTAATTATAAAGCGTAACACTTCAGCATAAACTTTTTAGCCCATATATAATTCTTTACACCCAATTACGTAAAGTTATATTTTAATTGACACATGCTTGTTATACAGGGTGTGCATATTACCGAGTGCTACACTTTATTAATTTTATTATCACCTATAGCTAATACCATATCTAGTAGCTAGTTCCGGCGTGTGTGTTGTAGCAATCGCCAATAATAGTGGCACGTCATTAACATCAACATTCAAAGATTTTGTTAGGGTTGCTATATCACAAAAGTCGGTGGACATCAACATGTCGGCTAGAGTTTTCGATAGTACGCAGAATTCGCGGAGTTTGCTCTCCAAAAAGAGTAGGCACTGGAATCAAAAACAATATATTATAAGTATCATATTGCATTTATATAAAAAAAAATCTTGTGCAGAAATTAAAAAAATATATATGTATGAAATTATATATCAAGTTCTTTTTTTCATGATAAATTCTTGGATATGATTTTATGTCGTTTTAAACAATTCAGTTAAATATACGGAAAGCGTGAACAAATCCTTGACGATAGGATTTAATCATACAAGAATAATAAAAAATTAATTGTAGTTTAACATTACACAACTAAGTGATATCAATAATTATGCATTATCTCAATAAGGGATGTTATATCTTTATAGTTGTGATGTGGCTATTAGTGGAACGTAAAGGTAATAAAAATATTTATATATTTTACCTGAGCGGCGGGTACATTGGCTCTTCTCATGGCTGGTAAAGCATCTAAAATACCACCAACAAGTGGGGACAAACCCCCTCCCATAGGACCGACTGATCGCCCACAAACTCTGACCTGCCTGATATACAAACAATACTTTTTAATTTTATTGTTTTCTTATTTTGAAATTTAGGGTTATTAATTATCTTACTAATATTATAATTGCGAAAGTTTGTGAGTGTGTGTGTATGTTTGTTACTTCCTCACGCTCAAACGGCTGAATCGATTTTGATAATATTTTGTATACAAGAAGCTGACGTCCAGAAATAACACATAGGCTACTTTACATCTCGGAAATCACGGAAATCCGCGGTTGAGACAGCGGGGCGCAGCTAGTTATATATATATATATATATATTTGGCAACGTTATAAGAATATTTAAGAAAACATTTTAACCAAAAACAAGTGTTAAAACAATGATATACTAAAATGTAAGCGTAATTGTACCAACGTAGATAAACTTACTGCTAGACAAATAGATAGATAGATTCGGTTGGTTAATCTAGATAATAAATTACAGTTAGGACTTACCAAGTATTAGTGTCGCCGACTATGGCTACAGTTTGTATAGGCGAATCAGAGCTCTTGTTCAAATACGACGTCAGATCTAAATCCCTCCGAAGTTCCGATTCCCATGTGTCTGGATTAGCGATTGTTCCTGTAAATTTAACGTACAAATATATTTTAAAGTTGAATTCTCTATATAAAAAGCATAATTATCTGAATGATGCAACGAAAAGTTGTTGCAGACTAAAGTTTACCCGTTTATTATGGATTAAACAAATATAGCGATTGCGTCTTCATCGTATGTTTGTGTTTTGTTTACGTCAAAGAATATAATTTAACAATTGTTTTGCTGTCGTAAAATTGTGTGACGATGTTCATATCATAACCATATAAAGGTATTTGGATGTCTGTATGGAGTTACATACAGCAATAAGATTTAAAGATTTGTGTTAAGCTCATGTAATCTTTTAAATGAAATTATAGAACCTAACTGCTCTATTCTAATTTTTTGTTGGGTGATATCAAATGGACTTTTTTTGCTGTGTTTTTCATTACATTTCATAAACTTGGTACCTTAAAGTTAATGATATTTCTGGTCAATTGGGAGTTATTTTGATCAAGCAACAAACTAATGTTATTTTTGTCCCTTCATGACGTCATAAATTGAATGAAATGTCTTTCTTCTAATATTTACTACTAACCGAGACAGAATCAAAATAAACTTATTCTCACAGCGTACGTACAACCATTTTATGTTTTAATTATATCTTTGTTTATACGAATATTTTAAGCAAATTTAATTATTTTCTTCTAAGTGACATCTGCGACTTAGTCAACTACATACAAATAAACACACATCAGTGAATACGAAGAATTTATAAAATCCTTGTTCCTCACAACTTGGTTAACTTTATACTGAATAACATAATATATTTTTTAGGCTGATGTAAAACAAAATGGAAAATTTAAATCTATCCGGTACTTTTGTTAGTAGCATTTTCTATATGATCATATTCATAACTCTACATTTTAACAAAACCATAGTGTACGATTTATAATTCATTATGTAGTTAAAACAAAATATCTCTAAACAGGGCAAGACTGAAAGGATTATACGAACAAATATTTATCATTCAAAAACAATGTTTAAAATAATTAAAGGTAATTTTCCAACTTTCACTTATCAAATAGGTAAATATGAGCAGTGTTTGTGACAAACAACATTGGCATACATTGAACTATATGTGTAATAGTCACATGTATTAGACATGTGAAAACAATCAATCACGCTTGACCGATAACGATTTGAAGAACCATAGTGTACAAAATATATTATTTAAATATGATACTATTAATAGAAAAAAGATATTGGTGTATAATTTTCCACGTCCTTAAGTTATCTTATAGGATAATTCAATTTTTATTTCTTACTAGAAGACCTGGCGAACTTCGTATCGCCCTATAATCAAGAAATATCTATAACGTTTTAATATTTATATTTTTGGAGTTTACCTGTAAGCCATAAATCTCCGTGTTTTGAAGTGCGACAGAATGATTGACATATTAGTTAGTTGTCAAATCTAATGTCAAAAAAACGTTTGTATGGGAAATAGAAAAGGGCTGTTTTTATGGTTTTCCAAGTAATGAATAAATTTTTTTCAGCTTTTATACCTTCCCTGAACCTCATCGAACATTTCAAGACTAAGATAAGATATATCCGTTCAGCCGTTCTCGAGTTTTAGCGAGACTAAGGAACAGCAATCCATTTTTATATATATAGAAGATAATGAAAATATATTTGGAACAGATAATAAGTACGACGAAATTTTACTAAGAAAATGTAGTATAACAGTTAGGTACGTACTAAAATTTCATTATAATGAAACAAATGGATAAATTAACCGTAAAACCGTATTAATCATAATAATTACCTTGTAATATTAGATCAGGTACATAGTGGTCTGTAACGCCGCCTAGAAGTGTATCGTTGTAATCAGTTTTAACGATAGGACACACTTCGGGAACAGGAAACTCTAAAACTTGCTTTACTTCTATTACATTATCTTTTTCTTCGTCTACCTTCACTTTCACTTCGGTCACATCCTTCCTAATATTTACAACGACAGTACTTTCCTTGCGTTTCCTTACAAATGTCTTGGGCGTCATTTCTTGTTGTACTATAGTCTCCTTAGCTATCTGTGGTTCAGATTGTCTCGGTATATCGTTCATATATTCCATTTCGGAGGCGTTAGTTGGAGTTTGCAACATCGACTCCATCAACTGACACTTGTAACAAGTCTCGCATCTATCTTCCTGTATCGGAGGTACGAATGTTGGATCGAACTGGAAATTGTCCAGTTTCAAATTCCCCGGCTTCCCTATATAATGTCTATCTAGAATCTCTAAGTTCTTGCTCTTCATATAATTAGTGACTATCTGCGGGTATTTATCGAACTCGAATTTAAAACCGGAATGTTTTATGGGCTTGGAATGTTTAAGTGTTTGGTCACAGCATTTCGGGCTCGGTGATGATTTGTATTTCTCTTGGCGTACATCTTCCCGTTCGGTTATCTCTTTGTCCTCTGTGTCCGAAGCTTTTGACGTTTTCTTTAAATTCTTCTTGCCGTTTGATTTATTCTTCAACCCAACAAGTTTTTCATCATCGCCAAGCACGAACACAACATTCTTCTCGCATTCTTCTGATGACACGTTTGAGCTTGAGTCAGAATCCTTCAATGAGATCATTATAGTCGGATGCCGTCTCAATTTGCTCCCGTTATCAGATGATAAATCAATATTAGAGAGCACATTATTTAAATCAGCGAAAGTCGCCGATTTCTTCAAAGACACCTCACTCGACACTAAAGTACTCGCACTACTACCGCTATATGAGGGTACTTTCAAACTATCTTTTGTACTATAGTCATTCAAATCACACTTATCGTTTTCACTAGCAGCTTTCACATTTATAACTTTGACTTCGCTGAATGAACAGTCTTGATACACGAAATCGTTCTTCTTAACGTCACCGCAGCGTATAAAATAAGTAAGAACATCTAGTAATCTATTGATGAACTGTATATTTTTGGAGCCTGTGATGATAGTTCTGGCGGATTTTGGTGGAAATCCTATGCAACCACAGAGATCGGTCAGTTGAGCCCAGAGTGCATTGTAAGGCCTCTTTGTGTCCAAATTTCCGATGTTTTTTGATTCCACTCTGTCGTAAGGACTAACTGTTGTTACCCAGCCGAGATGATGAGTTAAGACGTGCGTTAGAAGGGTGCTGATGAAACTGTAACAAATATAATAAAGCATTCAACAAAAAATATAGAAACGGAATAAAATGGTATTTCGAGAATATTTGAAATATATAAACTATCACAAATTAGGTTAATAAAATTCAAACTTTTTTTGGAACAAAAATTTAGAATAAATAATTGTTATAACATTGATTGATAGTAACAAAAATGTTTGAATAAAACAACAATTTCTTTCTCTGTTATTGTATTAATTGGACCTTCGATATTCAGAAAGATAAGATAATAAATTATAAAACGATATGACTCAGAATAATATTGATGTTTTCATTAATCTAATTTTTCTTTTTCTTCCAGTTATAAATCGCAAAGCAATATTTTGTTTGATTTATAATTCTCACTTTGGACTAGTCGCGTTTATTTTATATTAGAGTTTTATGATCTGATTCAATATGAATTTCAAAAGTATAAATAATTTCTAAAGTAGTTTACTATACTTTTATTTGATAATCCTTTCCTATGGTCGAATGATTGGTATCGACAGTGTTAAATGTACAAATGAAACACGCCTGCATTGATTACATATTACTAAAGAAAAGCCGAAACTATGGAATTTAAATAGGTATATAAATCTTAGTCCTATTATTGAAATTGAGAAAAAGTATCTATTGCAGTTTTAAACTAATGGAATATTATATGTATGAGAAACAAAAGATTTGGTTCCAAAAATATTTTGATCTCAACCACCATCTGTTACACAATAAAAATCTTTACAATTTTCATAATAAAAAAGAAAAGTTGCATCATAATAAAAAATTTAGTAGCAATAACAGAGCACATTTATTTATAGAAACTATGAATATGTCTAAGATAAATTATGAACGATCTAAACATTTACAAATAAACGTGTCAATTACAGAACAAATAAATGATAGGAACGAATGTTTCCCAGAAACAAACTTCATAGTTACCACCCACGTATAAGTTACACAACAAATTCGCACGTGAGTTATACGTAAACACTACTGAAAATAAAACACTTACGATACTAAAAATAATTCAAGTATCTCATTGATTTCTATCATTGATACACATTACTTACGGAATACGCTAATGTGTGTCAGAACTTCAATGTTAATTGCTTATAAAATATACCAATAATACATATGAAAAGAGTTAAAATATAAATAGTATTTATCACATGATGGCGATAAATAACAACGTTATGTGCTACTGAAAACATCACGTGCTTTGTATTTATTGAATTAATAATGTTATATTGTCGAATGTTTTTGCAAGTAATCCCTACTAATATTATAAATGCGAAAGTAACTCTGTCTGTCTGTCTGTCTGTCTGTTACGCTAAACCACTGAACTGATTTTAATGAAATTTGGTACAGAGATGGAGTTGACCTTGAGAAAGAACATAGGATAATTTTTATCCTAGACTTTTGAAAGGTTCTCTTGGTAACGTGATATAACCGAACTCCACGCAGGCGGAGCTGGTTCTATATAAATATTTCCTAAAGAAATTGTTACACTTCCTTTTATAAGTAATTTTTCTTTTGTTAGTAATTTGAAGTTAAACTTACAAGTTAGTATCCTTTGTATCTCCTATAGCTAGTACGAAGCATATGTCTTCTATCAGCCTGTCGGCCATTTTGTTTGCTTGTGAAGGCTCACTGGAAACAAGAAGTAGCCACGTAGGATGAAGCCGCGGTCCGAACAATAACTCCGACAACCTGCAGCACAACTTTCATAGGTCTCATAGTTCGGTGATAATGAAAGATGAAACTTTCATAGTAATTTTCATATGTAATATTGTAATTATTTGTTTTATGTAATTATTTCATTCTTTAGTTATTTATTTATTCCCATTTTAATAGTAATATGTCACGCGTTCAAAAAAAGTTTTCATTTTGTCAAATATTAAGAATAAAAGTGAAAAAGTTTCATTTCAATTTTCATACACATGTGTCTTTGGCGAAATGAAACTTATAGCAATACATATATAAATGAATGAATGAATGAAAAGATACCATCTCCTCGCGTGTCCTGCGGCCGTATGTAATGTTGAGACGAAGAATCCATCCGAGCCAGCGGTGAGGGCGGCTAGACGTAGACGACACACGAGCGACCGAAGTTGAGGCGATAGCTCTAAACAACGACGAATCAATTCCCTGGGGGAGATACATACACGTGACAGGCATAGAATAATATTACAAGGCAGGGATTGATGTAACAGGGGCAGGGAATAACATTACAGGGCAGAGATTATAGTTATAGGAGCAGAGATTAATATAGCCCGAGACGGGACGTTATTTTAAATCATCATGTATTGTATAGAAATATTAACTCGCTAAATTTCTATTCTATATTATGTGTGTTTATAATATATATTATGTGTGTGTATCGATAATTGTAGCTTGAATGTAATTTATTTTATAGTCTCCTTAATTATTTGGTTTTCATTTTATTATTAAGACTTTTTGGTGTGATCATTAATGATAAACGAAAAATTAAGTTTTGACAGAGTTGTACCATTTTGTAGCAATACCGTTATTCATGAAAAATCTATGCAAACTAATGTTTTGTAAAAAAACATCTCGGACATAAAAAAAATCATTGGAAGATATCCAATAGGTAATAAAACTAAAGATTTTAAACTTGTCTTTCCATGAGAGTGCTGGTAATTCGTCATTATAAAACCATAATACATACGCGAGGCTAATATGGAGACAGTTTAATTTTAATATGTAAACTTCACTTACATATCATCAGATTCAGTGAAGGTAATTAGCAGCGCTAGTCCGAGTTTAGCGCGTCGTGTGGACACAGTGCTCGCCAGACTGTCTGACGTGCTTGTAGAACTGCTATATAACTGCACAGACAATTTATATATACATATATATAAACGAGATCATAATGACACTGTTAGGTCAATTTGTCACTGCCTAAAAAAAGACATAGGTAAAATAAATGGAAGTATTCTTGAAATTATCTCTATATAATTTTGGAACTGAATAGGATTTTATTTATTGCCAAGATTTTTTTTATTAATCAATAAATTTACGATTAAAGTTATGACAACGGCATCACATGACGAGACGGTTACTCGTCACGAGTTCCGATAAAACCATTGTAAACAATTGTTTTATGACATAATTGAATTCTTAATATTATCATTGATAATGCTAATAAATTGTAAACATAATAAAATGTAAAGGCTTATACACACTATCCAATAACTGTAAGCTTTTCATATAATGGAAACTCCTGTAATTAGTACTTTTAGAGGTATACACTAGCCCATAGATTTGTTTACAGCTGGTCCAACTAAATTCTCCGATATTTACTTTACATTATCACGATTTGATAACAGTCGTCAAACAAGATTACAGGGCTTAAGCCCAGATTTTATCAAATCACTAACCGACACAATTACACTCATAATCTACACATTCAAATATAATTTAGGTGTTTGTTTGTAACGTTAGAATTATTATTTAAACGTTACACATGACCTATATAGGATGTTTGTTATAGAAATATGATATTCATAATATTACCAATGGGTTTGTCTATTGCTCATTTTTACAACTACGGAAGAAATTAATGGCAATTCGTTATAAGGTAAAGATATGATTTAATATAGAAAACATATATAAATAAATCAATCAAAACAAACCTGCGAATCCGCGCTACACACTGTACTACTTGTGGGTACTTTCAAACTGTTCCCGAAATCGAAGCGAGTAGCGTAGCTATGGGAAGTGCGTCTAGCTAAACTACCGCTTGAAGCGCTTAACTTTGAACTTGGACCTGTTGGTATTATAATAATTTATACATATACAGCATGTTCAATTTAATACTAATACTTAATAAGCAAAGAACTTGATATTGAATAGATTTATTTTTAATACAAACGTATACTTCTGACGTATTGTATACCTTTACTTACTATAAAAGTGCTCTTCACAGTTTTGATCCCAGTCGTGGAACATAGTGAGGTAGTCGAAACTTGTACCGAAACTGCTGTACGAAGATGTCTCGCAGAAACCTTTATATACAATAAGTTACAATAAAAATATGACCAAAACAATAAAATTATTTTGATATATGAGCTCAATAATTAAATTGAAGAAGTATGTATACATAATATGGGTCGATATCTACCAGTATATACAGGGTGACTGGTGAATTACTATCGATACTTGAGGACGTGATATTTGACGATCATATATGACAAAATAAAAATTAATACAACATAAATATTAATAAACTTCTAAGTAAAGTTAACCAAAAGTTATGTAATTAATTACGCATCATGTGAACACCCTACAGATTAGGTATACGCTCACACTCACACAGACGCGAGCGGGGCGTGTTGTTGTATCAGCACGCCGCCGCACGCGTCCACACTTGGAACACTTGGAACGTGTCAACACGTTATTTATTTATACGGAAAATTTGTCAAAAATTAAGTGCCTATTTTTTTTACATAATTCGAATGAGAATCATGTACCGAGTATTCTCCTTAAATATTGATAGTAATTCACCAGTCACCCTGTATATGTATAAGGAAAGTCGTCTTGGTTAAATTCTAGAATTTCTCTACCGATTCTGATGAAAACTGATTTGGAGATAGGTTAGAACCATGAGACAGACAAAGGATACTTTTCATTGTATTCGATCGAAAAAGGGAGAAAAAAATACTAAATCCAAAATATGCTATAAATACATTTTCTAAGGCGTTACAAAATTATCTCTAAGTCGATGTCGCGGTCAAAAATAGTATACAAAAAGCATTTGATACAATCTTATTTGAATAACAATATAGATGTTTATTACCTAATCCTCTTTTAATGATATTAATTTAATAAAAGGTATTTTTTACTAACCGCAAGTCATGTAAAAATATCTTTGCTACAGATTGAGAATTGAATTATTATCATCGTTATCATACTATAAGGCCTTTTGTTTTTTGTTATACAAATATCATGTTGAAATTTATTCATTTTTTATGTTCGACATTTCTTTTAATTCATGTTCTTTTTTGTGCTTTCACAATTTTTTCTGAATTTTAACATAAAATAATTGAAGTATAAAAATATTTTTATATATCGTCCTTTTCTCTGTTATATAATCTTATATTTGAAGATAATTATTTGCTAAAATTAAAGATAAACTGTGTCTAGATATGTAAATAGAATCGTAAGTATAAGTCGAAAGGTATGTTTGTCTAAAAATCTATAACATAAGCCGAATTATACTAGATGCTGTGGTGTAGTTACAATATCATAAAAGACGCATAGTTTCGAAGTAGTTTCATTTAAATGAGTACACGCGAAAAATCTTAGATCTTAGATCTTTTCTAGACTCAAATTTTATTCCCTATTTTTTAGAATTGAAATCTTTCCTCTTCCGAATACTAAACGACAATTAAAACTATTTGGAAAGCTATAAAAGACACACAAATATTTATAGTATACTATCTTCAGTAGGAAGCAAAACGTTTTCTTGATAATTTTGTTTGCCCTTAAATAACTAAAACTGACAACGCATTACCAAATCAAATAAACTGAACGTTTCCTTCTATTTTTGTACTCAGTTAAAATCGTTTCGCAAATGTTATAATAAATAAAGGTTTTTATTACTAAATAACATATCTTTATGACTTTATATTTAAATTTTAAGCAAAATGCTAAATCATACTAACAATTTTGCGAGTATTCTATCTTGCTAGAAAATTTTAAACGGTTTACAATTTACATACATAAATGAATGAAGACGTATTAATGCAATAACTGAAAAGTATTCTTGTATATTACAGGTATGGGCGCGAATAGGGAGAGGCCTATGTCCAGCAATGAACCAAAGTGGCTAAATGATGATTCTTATTTAGTTCGTCAACGTAAACTGGATGTAAAAGTACTGTAAGCACTGTTGTTCAATATCCATGGGTATATGTATTTTATGTAATAAGATTATGACAACAATGATTTTTTTCCTAATAATATCATATTTACATAAACTGATAATATTACATCCACTAGAGTATTATTAATTTAAATTTCATTCATCGAATAAATAAGAAGAAAATAAATCCTTAATTTAATTAAATGAACATTTTAAAATTGAAAGTCATCCTGTGAAAGATATTTTTCTATAGTTCAAAAAAAAACACTTCAAAAATAGAAATCGTTAACAACATTACGTCAAAACAGCCCACGTGATTGTTTCTCCGGGTTCAGTGGATGCTGTCATAAGTCATTTGCGTAAATGAAGCTAAGAAAGTTTGAGAAAATCACTTTATTTTGACATATGGTCGATGGACAGATTGGTAATATTGCCAAATTCGTTCAACAGCTGTGAGAATAATTTAAAAGTACTTTAAAATGCATTCGACTTTTTTGTTATTTCGCAAACCCGAACGCGATGAATGTTGAACAAAAAGCATTCATATATTTTTTGTATTAAAGTATTTGGTTTGGTGGATTTTTATTTATTTATTATCATTATAAAAAAAAAATAAAAAATGATGATTCTCACGTATTAACAGTTGATTCACGCGTTCTTTAATTTTATTGTAATTTTTATTTTATAATTTCCAAAGGTTCATTTAATATTTCAAAATCTTATTAAATGGTGTTTATATAATCACTCAACACCATTCATTCATCCATTCACACATTCACTCATATTCACGCATTCATTATTCATTCTCGCCAAACGAATGTGAGACAACTACCATATATTATATTCGAAGGAATTAGTGAAAATATTTCGATAATTATCCATCAAAACTATCATATTACGATGGGAATAACGTACTCCCGGCAATATATCCATTAATATACGTATATAATAATAGTATAAAAATGACCTAATAGTGAGCTTAAATTAAATCACTTAGATGTATAATTAAATAACAAAAACAGGATTCAAACCTATAACAAATACAACGCGTCCCAATTACTTTTCTAATTACGCTACCTTGCGGTATCATAATTATAGATTAAAGGTCATAAACGTCTCATATATTTTATAAGCCTAACTATAAAATTAAGCTTCACCCTCCGAAACGCCGAAATTACTATCCTGTTTTCTTTGAAATAGGAGAATAACATATCTTTAACGATTTCTTAGCTAGAACACGAACAAAGTGATTAATGGCATTTAAAATTTAAGACTATAATTTGACTTATGAATTTTAAATAGCTTTTATTTTAAGAAGTATTTGTTTCAGAATAAAATAGACTTTTACCGACAATAATGCTAAAGGATTGCTAATTTTACGTTTTCAAGTAGAGCCTACTCACCAGAATCACCTCTGTCCAATGAGAAGCTCAACGCCAATCCCTCTTCTCTCAATAACGTCATATTCAATGGCTTAGATCTATTCACATCTCCGCTACAACCATCTGGCTTCCTCTCCATACGACTGGTCTTCCTTGATACTGGCACACTGAATAACTTGGTGCACATTAACCTACACCAAAACAAAATATCATATAAAATTTAGGTATTTGTGAATTAATAGTACGTTTTGACTTCGGTTTGTTCAATTGCACTTAGTTTCCTAATGTATATGCATCTTAGAATTACACAAAATATGCCATTAGCAGGTAATAAAGGCATTTATTTGAAGCTATATCTATATTTTTGTTCTTCTTTTTATTCGTTTATTGGTAATCCAACAGCGTTACAGTAATTTTAGAATAGTAACAATATAGCTATAAACAAGGCCAATTTAGGATAACACAAATTTACAGTTCAAATATCATATCTACGTAGTCTTATAAAATAATCTATTTTATTTGGTCATTACCTTCTCGGTTCATTCATGATATGTATCTTAAATGAAACGCTCTTGCAATTCATTGCCACCGCACCGAATATCATCTCACCGAGGACACTCGCATCCGACGCTTGACCTTTATACTAAGAGAAAAATACTTTTGAAAACACAGATAGGAAATGTTTGTTAATAATTAATATACTGTTGATTCAATGATAACGGTTGCAGTACGGATGAAACTGGTTAAACTTCTATTTGAAGAACTAGTTGGAGGATCATGTTTTTATTACAATAAATAGTCTGTGTTTATATTAATGATCTTGACTAAATATACATATTTCTATTTAAAATACTAGTGTATCAATAGTTAAATGATGATACTATCGAGGTCTTTTCAACTAAAACAATTTTACTTCCTTACTTGTATATATTGTTTTATCTATTTATTCGCGTCTACCACTCAAGAACTCAGTTGATTTGTAAGACACTAGATTTTACTCAAGACACTGCGAGCTTACTATGTTACCCCACTATATGGGATATATTAAACAAAAGCAGCCTGCATGTATACATTTCAACTAACAAGGATTTCAACTAACTATAACAATGTCATAAAGACAAAAGAAAAAAGAGAAAACAGTTCTTTCAAGAACAAGTATCAGGTATTTAAATAAGAAATTATAATTGTATTCCTCGAGGCAACCGCACTTTTAACAACCTAATCTAAACATATTATCTACCCTTTCATACGATTCTTCAACAACTTTCGCCATCGATCTCGTTTGTGTCTGTATATGAAAGAAAAAGTTTACCAACGCCCCAAAAATGTTCGCAAAAAGAGAACTATGGATTTCTGGGATTATGTATGTATAAGTACGTGTGGTCTCCAATCAGGGTCCGCCCTTCTTCATTTTCTTTGCCACCTATAGACCTCAGACGATAGTCACTCTAGATTTAAAAAATCTAACAGTAGGGGCGGACATAATTCTAAATCTCTTGTATACATCTAAATCTCTCTAAATTAGTACCATTCTACAACCAAGAAGGATGACAATAGTTTTAAAATATATAAGAAGCTATAAGAGATTCGGATTATAAATTACTGCCAAGGTTTTGACATGTTCCAAATAGTATACCCAAAAGCTAATTTGTCGAAGTTATCGATGTCGAAGTTAGTTAGTAATTTGTGAGTATAATACTCACTAATCAAGAGATTAAGGGATTGGATAAACTAGTTTCCTATGCATCAAGGAAGCAAACATTTGCGTAAAAATGAATCAAAAAAATTATTGGATGGGATAGATATTCATGATACTTTCGTAATCATTTTCAATGAAAGTTACAACTTTACTATACAAGATCTACAACGACCTAGTTTACCACCCCACAATGTTCGACCCACTAGTCACTACTTGATAACTGTCCACGCGTTAGTTCTTTACGATTTACGCGTTTAATTATATGTTATCTTTTTCATTAAGCATATAAAACCATAAACATTGGCCTACATTTTTTTTACCACGGCATTCTATGTACTGATTTAACTGAAATAATTGCAAACCTTTGTTCTGTTGAAAAATGATGTTATTTTGAGACAGATAAGACGGTATCCAAATAAAATTATTTTATATATTTAATAGTGACGTAAAGTTTCATTCAAAATTAAGTTATGAATGAACATTGACCTCTCTATGCAATACAGCATCACGTGAATCAAATGATGTATGGACCGATCTATTTTCAACTTAACTATTTTAAACTGTGACGCGAATAGACACAAAAATATAATAGCGCATCGTATATTACGTCAATTTAAAATAACTTTTATATTAATTTAATTTTTTATATTAATAATATTTAATATAAATCTAACGTACGTATTATATATCGTTAAAAAGACGAAAATAAAATAATATTGTCACACATAGAACGTGTACAAACAATTTGTTTAATTAAACGAGCACCAAGTCCCATGATTCTTAATTAGTCATGTACTGAAACAAAAATCCCACGGCACAAACTCCGTAACACTTAAGAGAATCGCTTACAATGAAAAAGGCTGACAAATAAAGTGGTCTATTTATAGAGTTGAATGCGAATAAACTGTGAATTGATCTTGTGTCCGAGTAGCTACGTATAAATTGATGTTATTTATAAGAACGCTTAAAAACTATGTACCATAGTACGATTATTTACAGATACTTAGTACTAGCCTTTATTAATACTCTTCTCGAGTAAATTCTAATACAGATCTCGTATGGTATTTCAAATCGGGTGCTGTATATTTTTATGACACGAGTCTGAAAATGGTTAGTTACTTAAAATGATATTTCGAGTTTGTATTTCATAGAAATAGTGGACAGTATTTTTAAATATTTTAAAGGAATTTTAAGGAAATTATTTTTGAAAATATCGCTTACGTTTTAATATGAAAATTTTAAACATTCAATGGAAATCTCATGAAAATCTATTCAGCCATACTGAAGATAAAGACTAAAATATTATAAATATTATGTAGATACTATTTAATACCCAAGTAATGACACATATTTTAATATTTATCTAGTGTAAAACAAACCTTATATTTCATATGAATTTTTTAAGCTACTTTATTAAAAAAAGCATTGTCTATTGCAATAAAGTAATAAGAACCAAAATTAAATGTTGTTAAAGTACACGTTGAATAATTTAACCTTATGAGTAATCATTTGTATGGAGTTAGTATTAAGTAATTATCTTATTATACTATTATTTTAATCCAACAATATAATTGAGATGGGTTTTTTCGTACATCGGAATTCTCGCCACGAAATAGACCTTTGGCAAATGTTCGTGTTTTGTTGAAGTATTTTTATAGAGGACAAGTTTTTAATTACTTTCATGTGACTACTATCAATATAGATTCCACTTTGTGTGATACTTTGTAACAGTAATACAATGACTTTGTATAAAACAAATTTATTTTTGTATAGAGCTTTGACAAATCTCTTCTATGCTTGGTTACTGGTTAAATATTCTAGATTTAATAGTAAAATGTAAAATTAATAATAAATATGTGATTAATTTTATCACACATCTGAAGCACACAATATATTAATATACATTAGAATTATAAATTTAAGGTTTATAACCAGAAATGAGAAAGGTCATACAGAAATTGAATTGATCTCAAAAGTTTCTATGAATAATACACACAGACTTTGAAACTATTATTTGTATATATGTTAAGCCTTGGTGATTTATAATATAAATAGAAATACAAATAATGAATAATTTATTCATAATATTTATATCAGCTGACTGACGGAATAATTTTAATACACTTAACATATTATTATAATAACAATATAACACTAAAATGTTTAAAATTTATTGAGTTAATGAATAAATATATATAAATGTATGTATGTATCTGTATATATAATTTTTTATGGAAAGTAGGAAACAATTTGTTGAATATTAAAAATGAAGTTTTTGGAAAAATTAAATACTCACAATATATGAGTTTCCATCCGTAACTTCGACAATGCAGGGAATTTTTTCCATTTTGATATCTGGTCTGTCATTTTTTGCTGACAATACTTTATCGATAGTAGATGAATCAAAAAGCACTTTTCTTCCTCTACGATCACATTCCTTATACAGAAGCAATCTCACTTGCTCCAAAGCTAATTCACCAGCTCTGCTGACAATTAAACAATTTAATTCGGTTAAGAAACAATTATTATAATATATAACTTAGATTCTAAACTTATAAAACATAAGCTAGTACTAAGGAAGAATTTTTATTTATGAAATAACTATTGTTTTATTTATAACTATAGCACAAATTGTCTAATATATTTCGTTATTTGACTTTAATAATATAAGTACATCTATATGTATAAACAAATAAATATTTTATACAAAGTAGATCACCAAAACTTTCTCTTTACTGCAATCACTTGCCTTTTGAGATTTAATACATCTTGAACTCACATGTAACAAACAATATACATGTATGTATATAATAACTTTAAAGAAAACAGTTTTTTTTATAATTACTGCCATTATATATATTTTCAATAACATATTTATGTTATGTTTACAATTATTTATCCTTCACACAACATCATTATTTATCACTTGATCAGTTTGTAAGAAAATAACAATTTATACAAGATTGATCTGCTTTAACCGCTTGCAACCAATTTAAATGAAACTCCAAGCGTATACTATGTGAACATTCATTATGACTTGTTTAATTCAATAATAAAAACAAGAAACAACCGGAGTTTACCTAAATTTCATTTTATTTCATATTTGGTTGAACAACAATACAGCTGTTCTTGTTCAATGCAAATCACAAATGCCATTCAATTATTATGCCACATGCACTCACTATTCATGAAATGCAACAAAGATTTCACTTTAAATGCACTTAGGGTACTAAGAGACAATAGGCAAACGGCCGAGTGGTTTGGAATGTGCGAGTGTACTACCTCGCGTATTATTAATAAGTAAACATTGATTGAACGGTCGCCCCTCTTCCTGAGTGACGTGATCGAACTGTCGCCCACGTTTCCCCCCCGCAGCCCGCGCTTATCACATGGTTCTAGACTTCCCCCGCTATGCTAACTTAGTCGGTAACGGAGATACTCCACTGCCAGAGCAGTGTGCGTCACCTCTCACTTTACAACATCCGATAGAAGATGCTGAAAGATTCGTGCGTCAAATTTCGCTAATGCTATTTACATCAGGGAACAGTCCAAAATTTGTAATATTTACTTTCGAAAACACGTACCTGCCCCTGATTCGTGAGTCCCAATAAGCATAATCAATTTTTCTTCTTCTAAAGATGTTTTCTATTAATGCCATTATATCACAAACATCATTTCACATTGCAGTCCGACTTAGCTGACATCATTTTATTTATCCAAATGTAGTTAGGCTCACAAGAAATAAGTTTTGAAATCATTTACAACTAAATGTAAATACTAAATCTAGTTTGGCATATCACGTGCGATAGTCATATGATTCACCATAGACAATTTTCTTTAACTTCACAAAGGTCAAGGTTGTTATGCGATTATTTTTATAAAATTCTGGACAGTTTAAACATTGTTTTCATTTATTTCTAAAATGTGAATACTGAATTAAAATTAGCGTTTAATTTTATTTTAAATAATGGAACTAGAACCATAACATCGTAATAACGTTTCTTTACACAATTAGCTTCTAAGTGAATTGGATTCTTTACTTTGTTTACAAGTCGTAAAACGGAACTGAAATGTCAGCTGTGAAGATAAATTGATTTTTTACTTCACAGTGCAAAATATTATCAAAGCTTGTTTTTATAAAAATGTAGCTGATAATAAAAATTTTAATATTCTACCAAAGGTGTATTTCGTTTGGTGAAACATCGAAATTGTTTTACGATGACTACTTTACAAGATATATATGATAAAATTGAAGAATTTAAGCCAGTTGTGATATCATCGTTAAAAGAAATTTCTGAACTAGATATAACATGTAAATCAATAATCGAACATCAGTTAAATAATACCAATTTATTAAATGCGACATCGATCATTAAAATCCAAGCTGTCATTGATTATATGTATGAACATGTTAATATAGGAAATTGGAAAGAAGTGAGGTTATACTTAAGAAAAACTATAACTGTTGCGTCTTATGTGCGCCTTCTGGGCCATTTAAAATGTAGTAACCATCTGACTAATGATGTTATTAAAGAAGGGCTAAAAATTATTGATTTTGGCATACTATTTGGTTGTCCTATGGAGACAGAGCCTACATTGCTACAAGACTCTGCATCATATCTTCATAACGCTCTCACTCCTGATGATTTAAAACCCGAAGGAAATATACAAACTGGTTTGACTAGTGATTTGGAATTAAAAAATAAATTTAATTGTACTGTATTAGATGTTATAGACTGCCCAAGTATGGAAACATTTTTGAAAAATTATATCCTCGCTGAGAAGCCAGTTGTTTTAGATAACTGTATCAATCATTGGCCAGCATTAACTAAATGGCAGGATCAGAACTATTTTATCAAATTGGCTGGTCTCAGAACAGTTTCTATTGAACTGGGAAGAGACTACACCGATTCAAATTGGACACAAAAATTGATGACGTTAGAAGACTTCATCAGAAATCATATATTTGCTGAAGGAGGAACAACAGGATATCTTGCCCAATATCAGCTATTTGATCAAATTCCCGAGCTGAAAAATGATATTATTGAGCCAGAATATTGCTGCTTCTCGGAAGAAGATGAGGAAGAACACATAGACATTATGGCTTGGTATGGACCCAAAGGCACTCTGTCTCCGCTGCATCACGACCCCAAAAAGAATTTACTCGCCCAAGTTGTAGGTGAAAAACAAATCTTCCTTTTCTCACCTGAAGATTCAGTTTATTTATATCCTCATGAACATGAATTGCTCAATAACACAGCTAGAATTGATCCAAGGAACCCGGATTTCAAAAAGTTTCCTATGTACAAAGAGGCTAAAGGATACTGTTGTGTGCTACGCTCCGGCCAAATGTTGTATATACCGCCAAAGTGGTGGCATTTTGTGGAATCTTTGTCTGTCAGTTTTTCAGTTAGTTTCTGGTGGGAATAATTAATAGAAATAATCATAAATTATGTAACAATAAATCCCTTTCAATATGACATACATGAAATATATAAATGTATATCAACAAAATTTTGATTCCAAGAATTTAATGTCTTAGTATTATGTAGAAATAAATGTGTTAGCTCTGGTTTCAAAAGCAATTTTATGGATAATTGCATGTTGTGGATAATAGTTACATATTGTGCCGAAATGTACTTTTGATGTTTAGTAAAAATAATTCTCTATCATTATCTTTATAATTACTTCAGACAACTGTATTGATCTATGTGATTGTAGTATGACATAGTAATAGAAAATTGTTTATAATAAAAGACATATTTGTACTTTGTATAGATTAATTAAATTTGTTTGACAGTTATTTTTAGTTAATAATAGTTGAATCTCTTCAGCATTATAATAAATAATATGTAGCTCTGCCATTTTTTCCATAACATATCTGTATGTAAACAACTTTTAGTTACTGTTACTTTTTTATATTATATATATTTTTTGTAATTATTGTATATATGTAAATAATGTGATTTACATAAAGAGATTTAATATAAGTTCTGTCAAAAGTAGAGTTTTAGTATTTTATTATCAAGAACATCAAAATGTTTTCGTAAAATATTAAATGTATTAATTCAATTGATTTTTATTACGTATTCACAAGTTGTTCCGATTGAGTAATGAACACAAATGTGGAAACGCCTAACCAAATGGATATCGCTGATATGGAATAAAGGTCAAAGGTAAATTCCACTACGTTCATAACCTCAGTGTAAGCCAAAGGTTACTATAGATATAATTATACTAACTTCAATTCCATTATTATATTTCTGACATATCTAGATAATAGAAATTACCATAGATTTATGAATTATTTATTTAAAATCGTAATAAATTCTATGTGATTCATTGGTTTATTTGTATTCACTGTTCAACGCCCTGCCTATCAACATTCTTCTGACTTCTGAAGTACCAGCTCCTATTTCATAAAGTTTAGCATCTCTTAATATTCTACCTGTGGGATAATCGTTGATATAGCCATTGCCACCTGAAACAATACAAAAACAACATATAAACACATTTCAATTTTCAAGGTTAAAAATGGTTAAAAAAAGTAACAAAAAGGCACCTAATATCTGAATGGCATCAAGAGCTATTTTCGTAGCTTTTTCGGCACAATACAAAATAACTCCTGCGCAATCTTTGCTATTAACATGTCCTTCATCACAGGACTTTGCAACATTGTACAAATAGCTTCTACACGCGCTTAGCGTTGTGTACATATCCGCCATTTTACCCTGAAATAAAAATTAATACGAAACCAAATTATTATTGACTCTCCCATAATGTTGCACTTAAATTTATCATTCTGTCAATGTTAATGTGAGATATTCTGTCATGGTATTAAGACAATGTCTTTTGCATTGTAATTTAATATTTAAATAGCTTTCTCATCGTACGACTTATTCACTATCGATGAAAGCAAGATTACTTGCATAAAGTACCTACCTATTACGTAAATGTGTAGCTCTACAAACTACAGCAGAATATAAGTACCTACCTATGATTTCGGCCCGACATTTTATTTATATATATTTTGGAAATTTATTCTAATATAAGAGTAGGTATAATATCTTATAGCTTATACGTACTAAGCGGAAGCTTATATACGGAAGCGATTTAATATTTATAAATTTTTGATTTATTGCATTTAAATAAAACGATACTGTAATCTGAGCAAAATATCGAAAATCATTTGATATCAAAATCTGTGTAGCATAGGTATAATTAACAATTACCTTAATTTAAATTTGCTTTTTAACACATAATAGTAGGTAGTTTCAATTAATCCTTTATAATAAGGATACTTAATCAAGTAAATGTTTAGTTTAGACACTAATTCCCTACTTAACACAGTCTTAAATTATTATTTATTAATGTTCCTCCATTAATCATCAAATGATCACTGAACATCACTGTTATTATAATAATGATATTTTGTTAAAATCTCTATTAAAGATTAGGGAACAGCATAAATTTACTTAAAGCTAGTAATAGAAAATAACAACTTTAGCAGTTTAGTAGCAATCTCGTTAAGCTATTTTTTGTTATTACAGTCAGGGTATGTAAATAATGTATTTTCACATTTGATTAATAATTACACGATATACACTGGATTCAGTTATTTTCTGCCCTATCGTCACTGTCTTTTTGTACACCACAAATAAGACACTCGCAATCAATTTTCAGTTTTCTTGTTTATTCTCCGTTGAGTTCCTTGATATATTTTCTTGATAAAAGTAGGTACATATGTTTTTTGGAATTCAATTTATTTTAAAGTCAATTTTTAATAGTTTACCGGCTCTTTAAATTTATCTTTGAGATAATTACCAATTATTTAATTTTTGGTTGTTTGTTAACAGTTGTTTAGTCATCAATGTCTAAGAGCAAGTCTTAAAGACTTTTTAAGGTACTACGTCTTGGTCCCTTTGATTTGATTAGTTAGAATACGATATCAGAGTTTCTAAAAATGTGTTTAAGACCGTTTTAAAGTGCTTGGCTATCGTAGGAAGTTGGAGACCGTATGAAAATGGAACTTTCTTATCTACTTTAGTCAAATATATTGTCAGGGAATGCAATCACTTAATCACAAATATTAATTTTAGTACCTGTAATAATTGGAATTCACCAATAGGTTTTCCGAATTGTTTTCTTGTGTGAGCGTAGTCGAAGGCTGCGTCAACCGCCGCCTGCATCAAACCAACGGGTCCTGCTGCTAATACTAGCCGCTCTAAATCTAGACCTGACATGAGTACATATACACCTTTGTTCTCTTCACCGAGGAGATTTGATGCTGGTACCTAATTAAGTTATATAAGTAGTTAAAAAAGTTTGAAATTTATCTGAAGTTAAAGACAAAAGAATTATTTAAAAATATTGTATTTCATACTGATTGTTGAAAATTCGTCACCGATCTAAATCTTTAAGTTATACATCGATATTGATATATTAATATATTTTATTGAGACGTGCTAGCGGGACACAAAAAGGTTATTTTTATAAATCCAAGAGAAGTAAAGTAAAACTTGCTTTGCAGTCTTCGAAGACAAGTTCGCCGGTGTTCGAACCCCTCATTCCCAGTTTATCTAATTTCTGTGCCGTGGAAAACCCCGGAAATCCCTTTTCTATTAAAAATGCAGAAATTCCATGCTGGGGTTTGTTTGTGAGGCTAGTTCTGGCATACACCTGCAACATTCAAAAATATTTTTTAGTTTATTTCACATAGATTCAATATTTTAGTAGTTATGAGAGATCTCAAAATTTGCACTAAAACCTTTATGATAAATTATTTACCACCAAAACATCAGCGTCAGGTCCATTAGTGATCCAGAATTTATTGCCATTGAGTACGTAATAGTCCCCTTTCTTTTCAGCTCGTAGTTTCATAGAGACTACGTCACTACCTGACCCGGGCTCAGACATTGCCAGAGCTCCTATATGTTCTCCTGAGCATAACTAAACATAAATAAAATATATATGTATGTCAAAATAAATACCTCATGATAAATCTAAATCTATAGGTACTTGGAAAGAATGAAAATTATATATCATATTACGTCTATTGCATTGTGCAATTGGCTTTCGTCAACTGATATAATTATAATAGAGTATTGAATATACGTAATACGTGGACTGTGGGTGTATTAGGTAACATATTTTGCAGTAGTTACACGCCCATTGACGTTTATTTTGGACGTATTACGTACTTAGAACTTTAGCACCTAAAATACTATTATTAATGAATGACCGGAAACTTAATAGCGCCAAATAATTATTAATAGACTGATTTCTATGACTTATAGTACAGAAAACAATAAAACCATTTAATTACATACCTTTGGCAGATATTTACTTTTTTGTTCATGAGTGCCATTTCTATTGATTTGGTTGACACACAGATTTGAATGGGCGCCGTAAGACAATGCAATCGCACCACAGGCCCTGAATTCAATACAAAATATCTGAATACCTGAGAAAATACATTTATTAAAGATTAAAGATTCATTTTTTTAAGAGAATCTGCTTGACGGAAACCATCTATCGGTATAATTTTATCGTTACTGTGAAATAATTCCTACTCAATTATTGCTCTATCAATTGGCAGTAAAAAAGTTGAAGTCACCGTCACGATCGCATAAAAACAATCTATGGCTTTAATTTCTTTATTATTAGAATCATTATTTATCTGTATATATATATATATTACTGTATTATGTTTAAATGGGGATGTATGTGGTTTATTGTTTATTATTTTTAACTCTCTACATTATCTACATAGTCAGTTTATGAAATTAATCATAGGTTAGCACCAAGAAGATGGGTTCATAGAGTTGAAAATCACTTGAAAGCACTCAGTCGCGAAGTTTATAACCTACTCTAAAAATATTATCAAAATCTATAACAATATTAGCAAAGTAATTAAAGAAATTTCATATTTAATTAGTTAAGTAGATTTTGTTTCTATTTTTCGTTATTTGTCGTTTTCCAACTTGAGTAAGTGATTTTAATCTCATTAATTAGGTGAGTACAATGCCTTTATTAAAATCAATTATAGGTTAACACTTCAGTTAAACCTTAAATCTTAATAGCAACATTTTCAGTTTTATTAAATTAATTTCATACTTTTGTGTAAAGCGAATATATTTAAGATTTATTCGATTAATTTCTATAAGCTATAATTAGGATATTCAATGTAATTGTTAAAAAAATAGTTGTTTAAATAAATCGTTATATTAAATTGACCCTGTTAGTTTTACTGTTAGTTTTTCTACCTTGAGAGTTCTTCCATAATAACGCAGTGGTCTGTGTATTTTCCTCCCGTGCCTCCATATTCTGGACTGGCTGTTATACCTGAAATTACACAAATTTTCAATGAAATAAACAATAACATATTAAAAATAGTTCAATCTTTAATTAAATAGGCATATATATATTATAGGCTTATACAAAATCGAAAATTTAACACGTGAAAAGGCAAAAAATATATGTATCTATAGATATCTTATAAAAGAATGACGAATTATGTTTTTGCGTTAACTCAAATATAAATAACTAAATAAACATATTTCATTCAAGTAAAAGCAAAATACGAAGAACAATCTCGACACACATAGAAATAGTAAGTTTAGGGACATTATCGTTTTAAAATATTCTACGTTCATTTCATAATGTGCGAAGATTTACTCATGAATAATTGGAACTTTATTCGTATTTAGTGTGAAGATGCAAACTTTTGGTAAGCATATAGCTATAAGGTAGACGTCACTCTTTACTTTGATAAGGAACATAATAATTATTTACCTAATAGCCCAAGATTTCCAAGCTTTTTCCAGAATTCTCTTAATTCTTTAAAATTATTTTCTCTATCGATCTCTCCCGCCTTCGGTGCTAATTCTTTTTGTGCGAAATCAAAAACCATTTGACGTAGCTGTAACATGATTAAGTAAATATTCAGTGATAATAATTATAAATGGTCAGGGTCATAAAATTAAGGTATTTGAAAGAAATAACTTATTAAAAACTTTATCCATTGAAACTTATTAATTGGGAAACTAAAAATTTAAGCGATCATCTGATACTATTTATTAGAATGATAAATATAATTACCGGAATTGTTTTACTGGGGTCTTTAACGAAGTGCGCATGACGTAATTATTAATAAATAATTTATAACAACTCTATAATCAAAATCATTATACAAGAAACTCCACAACACCTTACACATTGATCAGAAAACTTAGTCATTTTAATGTCTGTTGCTGCAAATTTTATAAGAAATTTCCAAAAAAAAATTAGGATATCACGCCTTTTAAAATAAAATCTCAAAACATTTGATAATGACACTTCTATTTAATATATTAAGTCACAAATAATTAACCTAAAGTTTATCATCTAACATCTTGTTCAAAACCAAGACGTCCTAACTCCTACCTGTTTTTGTTCACTGGAGAGGCCAAATATATTCTCGTCTATCGGATAATACGATGCATATCTTGTCATAGATATATTTGTACATTGTTTAATTAATTGTCTCACTTTCGTCAGTCTTAGCGCCATTTTAACGTGACCACTGGGCTATCGCTCACGACATACTAAATGATATTACAGTACACTACAGTCAAACAACACATTGTTATTTACTGCTAATGATAATGAACTGATAATTTTCAGTATTAAGATAATTATTATTTATGTAAATAGTTTTTTTTGTACTATAATATTACGTGTACATTAAATTGAACGTCCGTAATCGTTTAATTTATTTAATATTCGTCCCATTGTATGCATAATGGGTACGATTAATTACTTTACCTCCAAAAGTTACGTCGTTGACCGAAGCTAAGGACACATATGAATAAAACACAAATGTAAACTTCAATTTTATTGTATATTAAATAAATGTTTATAAGCACCATTATAGCAAATGTAACAACAGAATTCATTATATATCTTAATATGTAACAATATCCCATTAATCTCCTAATAATACTTCACCTGGCCCGCCATGTCGTAGAATAAATAAAAATATACAATATGTCCTCAATATTTTAATATACATTTGTATATAATAGCTATTCTGATAAAAGTTTGTGCAAAAATAATTGACAGTTGAAATGATTAAAAAACAATAGTGCGTGGAATCCCACCGCGCGAAATAAGTGAAACTTCGTAATGCCTAAAAGAAAATAGTAAGGTGTAGAAATAAATTTTTATTGAACTCATATTCTTTCCTTAAAAAAATTTTTTCAAACATTATTTAGAGTTCACAATTGACCCGCCCATTGACTCTTTTTATCCCCCCCCCCCTTGACATTAGCGTTGAAAGTTTAACGCAACCTTGTTGGAATTATCAGAAATTTAACTGCAAAAACTATACACATAATAAATAAAGTCTTATATACAAGTCAATGTTGATAATGACAATGGGACCGAAGATTTCAAATAAAGAACATCAAAAGACGGAATGTGTAAAACTACACAAAGGAATGTAGGCGTTATTATTGCACTGTGTAATTTTTAATAATATATTAATATAATTAATTGGTTTCCATTTTTGATTTGAGTGACTGGTAATATTCGGAGAGGACCTTCCAGGCGCTGGGAGCCATGAAACCTTTTGGTGGCTCCTTACCAGCTTTAGCGAGACCTGCAACAATGTTGACAATGTCAATGACAGTTGTTATAAATTTTTGTTTTTTTTTAAAATTTTATATTATCCAGCCAGTTTGATTTTTTTTAAGTTATAAGAATTATTATTCTTAAATAATTATATTCAGCCAATATAGAAAAGGAACGATATAAAATAATATATAAGTATTAAAAAAGTACCAATGGAATTTTAAAAGTACCAAGTCTATTGCTATCTATACTTACAGATGATCAATTTAAACGTGGAATAATTTAATTCAAATATGTTTTTTTTTTCATTAATGAATTAAAAAAAAGATATCAACATACATAACATTGCAACTTCAGAACTAATGATATATATTATTATTTACTATATATGTACGTATTACAAAGAAATTATTCAATAAGTAGTTTTATATTTGATATATTTTTAACTTCATTACTAACCGTAACTAAGTTTTCATACACTACGCGTTTTTTATTATTTATTATTTATAATACCGATAATGAGACGAGAATTCCATCTCGTCTACAGCGTTCCGGTTGTAAAGGAACCGAACCTCAATCATATAGATATAAAGTAAGAAAAAACTCTTAGTATCCTAAAAATTAAGTTTCATATGAATGTGTATACAAGGAAATGTTATATATCATTATATATGTATTACGAACCTCTCATCCTTGTGCCAGATATGAAGTCGAAGTCTTCCTTACGAGTGGGGTCGAAGAATGCCATCTTACCGACCGAGGAATCATACGCTGCTACTCGGAATGGTATGATCTATGATAAAATAATTATATATAATAAATATGTTCATATAAAACTTTTCAGAACCGAGAATCAAACCTGCTTGAAGTACCAAATAACGCAACTATTTATTACAATTAATAGATATTTTTCATTATAATGTGTATGAAAACATCTTACCAGCTCAACGAGTGAGATAAATAGAGCCAGCCTTCACGATAAATTGTTATTAATAAAGGGGATTGTGTTTCCATTCCCAAGATCATTCAATGTTTACTTTAGGGCAAGTACAGCCAATGTTTATTAAGGGCAAGTAGGTACTGGTAGTGTTTATTAAGGGGAAGTCACTCAAATCGTAGCATCATATTAAGGGGAAGTATTTTACCTCAAGATCATCAAGTCCGGGTGCTGCTGCCAGTACGATAGCGCCATGTCGGGGGTCGTAGAGGTCCCCGCCGCCGTTGGGGTGCGGTAATCCAGCGGGGTCACGACCCACTATATAGTGGTTAGCGCCGGCGTTCATACGACACTTGGCATGCCATTGAACCTGAAAATTGGGAACATTAAAGGGATTACTCATACAGTAATACAATATAGAGTTGGAAAACAATTTATATAATAGGTATATAGTCTATGCCAACTTAGTTGCCCAGTAACGCTAATTTCCCTCGCCAATTAATTGTCTTTCATTTCATGTAAATAAATAATTAAAACAAATTTTCGTTATATAATATCTCCGAAAATATTATATATTTTACAAACAATCAATACACAGATCGATCGTTGGCTTTTATACAATTTGTCTATTGCAGAGTTATGGACTGCCGCTTAATATAAATTTTATATATCCTCCAGAATATAGCATCGCTTTTTCTTCGACATCGAACATATATTAAATTGTATGGACTAACTAACTTAATATAAAAGTATATATATGTATACATGTTATACCTCCGTTGGTCCAGCGTACATCATTGGAGATGGAAAGATCGCCAATACTGTATGTTCAGGGTCCAACACTCGCTCGTTCAACACCGCCTTGTGTTGTATGACGCGCACCGATAGAGGAACATCATCGTCTTTGGTCCAGCCGCCTGGTGTACAGAAAAAAATCATTTCGTTTACTTTAAATTTATATTTGTATAAATATATCATCAGTTTGAGACATACCTACATACACACACGCACACACACACACATATCTATACACATGTGTGTATACATATATGTATTGAATCCTACAATAACTTCTACAGACTACATCCATAGAAGAAGTACGTCTTGTAATATTCCTTAAGAAATTCTAACATATTTTGGTAGTAAGATAATTAAATACTTATATTAATTAATGATTACCAAGAGGATGTAGTAGCAGTACAGGTTTCTTGTATCCCCTCTCGATGAGTTGTTTTTGAGTGTCTTGCATCAGGAGGGCGTGGCCGTTGTGGATAGGGTTGCGAAGCTACATAATATAAAAACAATTAAATATATATATATTTTTTAATTTAAATATTTTACTCGTCCTATGAAGTCTAGCAAAGGCTCTATTAGTCTCTGGGCAGCAATTTAACTCGTCCTATACAATCTATAAGCTATCTAATGTTCTCTAGCCAGCAATTTTCCTCCCCTATTTAGTCTAGAAAAGCTGTATTGGTCTCTAGCCAGCAATTTAACTTATTCTAATGAGTCTAGAAAGGATCTATTAATCTCTAGCCAGCATCTAACCTGGAACGCGAACACAGCATCAGCCTCCATTTCCTTGAACTTCTGCCTGAGTTCGTTGGGCGTCAGTCTGTATGAGTCTAGACCGTCGTTCCACTGAATACGTTCGAACACTTCCAAGTTCCCGCCTACTAACCAGTCTCCAGACTCTTCGATCATCTGTTATAAATATCATGATAGAATACATACATGCATAAAGCATATTAATGTTTAGTTATTTACCTCATAATAATAATGAAAAAATAAACTGTTAGCAGTGAAATATTTGAAATATAGATAATTTTATCATATCTGTTCAAACATATACATATATTCTTAGTCATTGAACATTAGTTATTTTACAGAAATATCAAAAACTGATAATAAATGAGATATTAATGAGACCTATAATAATTAAATGCTAAGCTTCTGAAAAAATTTATAGCGATTATACTTTTTGTCAGTTATAATTAGATAAAACAAAACAATGTTTAAAGTTACATCGAAACAAGAAATATACAATAAACAAGAGCAAGGTTTGAACCTGTAACTATTGAATAACGCGTTTCAATTCCTATACCTGTTAAGCTATATTGAATTATAATTCCTATATTACCTCAACATTGATTTAACGTTTTACACAATTTTATTCAATGAGATCTATGACTTTCACGAGTATTCATTTAAACTAATAGTTTTCGGACTACTACGCGTTATTTTATTATTTCTTTAAACTATATACTCCCAAAGTTTTGGTTACTTTGCAGACTTACTACTCATCTGCCCATGATCACGATTGTTTCAAAGTAACCGAAACGTCGGCAGTATGTAGTTTAAAATAATAAAATAATAACACGTTATTATCCCATTACATATGTAACCTTCATTTAAACAATTATATTTTACTAGCTGCGCCCCGCGGTGTTACCCTCGGATTTCCGGGATGTAAGGTAGCCTGTGTTATTCCTGGAGTTATTAGTAGGATATTAATTAACAAATTATCATTCCCAAAGAGGGTTGATGTCAGGCAGGCGGCCGGTCGTAAAAACAATTCACAACATATAAGGCAGACCCTGGCTAAAGCCGGGAAATTGCCAGGTAGAAGAAGAAGATTAATTAACACATTAAAACTCACCTTTATATACGGATGTCCGGTGTTATATATACCGAATTGGCGACAGCATCTCTCCTGTTTTCTATGAGGGTAGAATTCGGGGTTTCTCATAATGGCGATAGTTCGGCCATCATGGGCCAACGCGATAGCCGTTGAACCAGTGAGCCGCTCCTTAGTGGTCGTGGACACTGGTAACACTATTGGTACAGATTGGTTCACTAGTGTCCCATCGGGTAGGGTGAAGCAGTTGGAATGTAGGGCCTGAAATGTGACAAAATTTTATTTAATGTAGGTATACAATGTCGTTATAAGAATATAATAAATAGGTTGTGAGTAAATGTTCATACTTTTAGCTTCAAAGAAGTATTTTTATTTCATATGAGTGAATTAGTTAAATTTAAGGTAAGAAAGGACGAAGTGTGATATGTCATACTGTAGGATACTTATAGTAGGTCGAATACAACATTCTAGTCTTGAACACTTGGATGTATGTATAAATACATATAAATAATTTAAATGAAAGAATACTAACTTGCAAATATTCGGTTTCCCTCATAAAACCTTTAAGAGGGTAGGCCCAACCTTCAGATAACACCTGGAAAATAGAGTAAAGAAAAGATATATTTTATTATTGTTTTGAAAACTTGTATAAACTGTAAAAAAATGTTAAGATAGAAATACATACAAGTATGGTAACTTATATTATTTACATATATTATTTAATATATACTTTGAAGTGTCTTTTCGTCGTCTATAAAGATTCTATATAGGAATCCAAGTCATGTATCATTATTTGCATAAGATATAGTATCATATCTCTCTTCTTCTTCCTGGCAATTTCCCAGCTTTAGCCAGGGTCTGCCTAAATTATTTACAATTCTGTAGTATATTAATTAACTTAGGCCATAGATATTTTGATATTACAAAAAAATAACAAATTGCTATTAAAAATTGTAGGCGTTATGATTTTCTAATGTTAGTAGTCTAATGTGGTTAATTACTTGGTTTGGAAATTTGGAATTTTAATATAACATAACGAAAGCTTGGGCCAATGGGTGGTCCACCATATTTGGATGTATAGATGAGAAGTGTTATAAAGGTGACTTTACACTGGACTTAATTCGATAATATAACATAAACACTATATTTATTATACTTCAGTAGATTCTTACCTGAACCCATTGCAAATCCAAAAACGAGAGTTCAATTTGCGGCAACCTGGCCGCCTCTTCTTTAGCGCTGCTAAGTCTGTTTCCGTAAATAAAGAGTTCTTCAACACCCGAGTCATTTTCATTGTAGCGTGGTATAATACCCTGGAATAATAATTAAAAATCATTGCTATATTTTTTTTATTTTTTTTAACATACAAAATGTAATTTTTTTAAAAGAAATAATAATGCAATCTTAACATTTATTTATTTTGTTGTAATAATAATAATAGGTGCAATGAGAAATACATGGTAAAAATATCATTTAATTCAAAAATAATCTGTTTGCCGAACTTAAAACCAGTTTATTGTGATTTTATTTTAACGAAATAAACACAAAACAACAAATAATTCTAAAAACCTGTTAAGTTCATTGACCGATCTCGTATAGGTTAATATATTTGGAGGTCATTCACCTGTGATTCGAGTAGCCGTACTACTTCTATGGTGGATTCTTCGATGGAGCGTCCCACTGTTTGAATGACGAGTTCTGGAGCTTCGGGTCGTTCATACTCTTGAGTTATTCCAGTGAAACCCTGTAAGTAAAAGATTAGAAGCTTCAAAGTAAATATGTCCAATACAAATAACAAGTGATATTAATGCTTGCATATTAATAAAATATAATGATATTCAACCAATTATATATGAAAACATCTCTTAATTGGCAACCTGGACTTATCTATTTATTATATAGCTTATTTATCACTCAAATATTGTATATATAAAATGTGATTTTAAGGAACTAAAATTGGTGGAATATAGTAAATCTATATTGAAGTTTGCTGATTAAAAATAATAAATATACGACTTTAAACTTTATGTTGATAATAAACTAAAATATTTTCGTATCATGAGAATACACACGGTATCGTTGTATAAGGAATTCTAAATTTTTTGGCGGAACGGTTTTGGTGACTCTATTTTTATACTTGAACTAGTTTTTGCCCGCGACTTCGTCCGCGTTAATTTCATCATTAGTAATATATGTATAGCTGACCGGGCGAACTCTATTCCGTCCTAGAGGCCATAAATAATCAGGTTTTCCCTGTTTCAATCGAACAGAATGATTGACATATTAGTTAGTTGTCAAATCTAATGTCAAAGAAAACATTTGTATGGGAAATAGAAAAGGGCTGTTTTTAGTGTTTTTCCGAAAATGAATCAATTTTTCTCACCTTTTAAACCTTCCCTGAACCTCCACGAACATTTCAAGACTAAGATAAGATAAATCCGTTCAGCCGTTCTTAAGTTTTAGCGAGACTAAGGAACAGCAATCCATTTTTATATATATAGAAGAAGAAGATAGAAGATGTATGAAAACATTGAACCACAAAATAAAGGGGAGGCCAATTTTCATATCAAACAATAAAACCCTTCTAAAATTATTATTAGTGTCATAATTATTATTAAAAATGGAGCTTCATTAGTAATATAGGTTCACTAAACTCCGATAAGAGAGTCAAAATGTAGCGAGGCGATTAACCAAAGTATTTTATGCTAAATACGTAAACAATAATGTGTTTACCAAATTTAGAAATATCTCCACTTTATATATACTCTTTTTATATATATTTCATATTGAATTATGTGACTATTATTTAAGCTTCATTGAAATTTAAATTCAATTAAATTGAAACATTTTAATTCAGTTCAAAACCTAGGGAAGAATCTCTAAATTTGGAATTTATTTATCTTGCAGTACCCATTCAGTCTCTGATGTCCTTTTATAATTCATATAAAGAATTTAATAAAAATATATATAAAAAGCCGAAAAAATGTACAAACAAAACAATTTTAAATCAAGAGTTCAATTAATACATTTATGATTCATAAATTAAACACTAAAGTAATAATTAGAGTAATTACAGTTTACCGATCAGAAACAAAGGCACAATAGATTCGTGCAAATATTCTATATTTCAAAGTATTACATAATTACAATAATATTGTTAAAAAAATAGACAAGATATATCTCTTAATTTTAAAGGAATAAATTATGGCCAAAATAAAGGTTGAAAAAATTCATAAAATGCTTCTCATACAAGAGGAATTTAACATGCCTATGTCATAAAGACGTAATCATATGCCAGAGTAATTCAATATATGAATATCTTTTTTGGACACAAGGACATCTTCATGGCAATTAACGGTAGTAAACTTGCTTATTGTTTCCAAATGATTAATAGCTAGCATTGCTAATATAACTCTTTAATACAAAGTATGTGTAGATTACTACCATCTTAAGGCATCTTCAGGAAAATCAATCACATTGTTTGAACTTGAAAATTGACTAAAAATCTGAGTATTATATAGGGTATTTTAATTCTTTTATACTTAAAGATATATTTATTTTAATCCTAATCTTTTTTGGAAACATTTTATGATTAAATTGACACTAAAAGTAGTATCCATTATCAGTGTTGTGGGTACATTTGTGGCTATAGGTCAATATAGCAAAGGCCATTTTAAACCAGCTATTTCTATAAAGAGAAGTGATTATACATTTGGTTGTCTATAAGTGGCTAAACCTTGACAAGTTTTAGTTGGAACTTCATATACAACATTCTCTTAGATGATGCAGATTATTTGAAATCATTTTAAATGTAAACAAATCTGACCTATAAATGACTTTATAAGATATACAATTTTTGGATAAATTACACTTATTTATTATGTTATTTTACATTTAACCCGAAGTATTAATTGCTATATGCATATATACATAGTTTCATTCATACATATGTAATACTATGACTTTTAATGTTTATAACGAGTCTTTACTTATCAATTTATTAAGTCAATTTAATTCTACATTTATTATATTATTAAACATGTTTTACTATGTCATATATGTATATGTTATAATCTTTAGATAAGTTGGATAAAAAACCAAGGTAATGTTTATGCGATGCTTTATATGTCATAAAAATATATTCATACAAATTCTTTGTAAAACTAATTTAAAATAAACCACCTCTAAAATTAATCTATATTCTTTGTCAACGTAGCTATCTTTTATATTGACTTCTTCTTTAATATTTTATGAAAAATCTCATGTCTCACAATAATAAGGTTGACTTTATAATGTTTTAATTTTATTATACCAACAATATTTAGTTTGCTAAATCCATCAAACCTTTTTAAACCAAGTCTAATCATAACAATTAAGGTGTTTACGTGCATGTGTATAACGTTATTTAACATTCATAATCATACATATACGTACATACATACATGCATTCTTCAAATATATATATACATACATATGTATTTGTTTTGTGTATCCAACTACTATATTATAGGGCGTGTTGTTAGAGAACAAAAAACAATTGAAGTCTAATTAAGAATTAAAAAAAAGTAAGATTCCTTTTTTACGTTTCTGTAACCCAACGGCCAACTAATGCGAATTTGAATTTGGAACCGACATGACCGTGTGTAACTAATTAAATCATAGGAATTATAATCAACCCAGTATAATCTCGGTCGTCGTCGTCATTCGTCATCAGCCTTTCAGAGCCCACTGGTGAGCAAGGCATCTTTCCCACATGGAGAAGGTTTGAGCATTAATCACCACGCTTGCTCAAGACAGGTTGGTGATTTCAAACTTATTGTAATTCTGAAACTATAAGTCCAGGTTTCCTCACGATGTTTTCCTTCACCCTATGTCAGTGATGTCTAAATACTTTCAAAAAGTACATATGACTCCGAAAAATCACATTGGTACTTGGCAGGTTTGAACCCGCGCCCTCGGCAACGAGAGGCGGGGCCTTTAACCACTAGGCCACCACTGAGTAATCTCGGTCTACCCTCATTAAATTCTAGGATTGCACATACCTTAATCTGTCCCTCCCTAGCTTTCTTATACAGGCCCTTAGTATCTCTCTGTTCGCAGACTTCCAAAGGCGTATCTATGAAAACTTCGAAGAACGGCAACTCGGAATCAGTGTGAATACGACGCGCTACCTCTCTATCCTGAAAACAATTAAAATATAAATACATACAAATTTATTCGGCTTTGTTTGTATTTAATTTGAAATTTTAATTATAGTTTTTACTGGTCAAGTTTTGACTCTTATAATTCTGTTTGTACTTCTTAAAGGTTAAGTAAGTGATTAAGAGGATTTAGGAGTTGCTACTTCAATATAGTTTACTCCAACCAAAAATTAGAACCTAAATCGATTGATACTTAATATTATACCACCTAGCGATAAATTTAACTTGGAGGCAAACAAGTTGCAATTCATTGCGTAAAATGCCAAGATAATCTTTTAATCTAAACTGCTCTAGTGAAACAAAAACATCGTGACTTAACATTAATTGTTATCAATTTAATCCTTATCACCTATCAAGTGTTATTTTATCATTCGACACGTTCGTTTTTGTTATATAATACTCCAATAAAACCATCACATCGGGTGATGTGATATCAAAACATGAAGAGAAATAAAATTGACAGCTGATAACTATGATAAATGATAAGAAATTTTTGAAAGTGAAAATTCCATATCTATGACCTTGAACTGACATTGTCTAGGTTAAGAAATCTATGACTATCATCTGATAAGTAGTATACAAAACTATATGTTATATCTACATAAAAACTACGAAGAGTTGTTTTTAATGAGATTTAAGTCCAAAAAAAACTACAAACACTCAAACACAACTAACAATACTCAAACAACACGTTTGATAACATTTGACAGTTGCTTACGATAACGTTTTATTGTTTGAATTTCGAATGAAATCAGGAAAAAATTCCGTTTATTAATGTTTTTTTAATAAATATTAAAATTACCTCAGCAAAGGGTGATACGAAACTGCACAAGCAAACGACGCCGCTGTCAGCGAAGAGTTTTGCAACTTCTGCTACTCTACGGATATTCTCTTCCCTGTCTTCCTTGGAGAAGCCAAGATTCTTATTGAGACCGGTCCTGATGTTGTCTCCGTCTAAACCATAAGCTGGTATACCTGCAGGGGATTTTGGAATTCGGCTTAATATTCATGCATTTCCTAAGAACATACTATAGGTATTAAAAGTTCGCAAGACAAATTATGTTGGGTTTAAATAGACGTATAGAGTATAAAATTTTACGGAGAATCCAAAATCTCATGAGTCATCTTGTCACTAACTTTCAATGATATGTCAGGTCATATGTCAACACCCGGAGAATTCCAGTTTGGATTCCGTCAACAATCACAATCTCTACTCACACAAAGAAATGACAATTCCAATTATATTATACTTTTAATGAACAATAAACATTCAAGTGTTATTCCAGCCGAATAAAATATTTGGGAAGTATAAGAAATAAATAAAAATTGACTTAAAATGTATATAATGACAGGCTTCTTTAAGCTTTATACTTGATAGCTTAGTTGGCAAAACAATTGAAACTCGATAATTCAGAGTTGTAGGTTCGAAACCTGCTAATATTGCTGATGTTTTAATTTTATTAAAATTTTAATTCAAGTACAAGTTCAGTACCGCTTAAAGTTAAAAATATTATTACATAAATATATAACAGTATAGAAGCATCAGTTGAACCATAAATCTATGATTGTAATCCGATTCCTATTTGCTAAGAATAGCCTGCTATACAATTATGTAATTCAGTGACTGCATTGCACTTGGAGAGGAAATCTCAACTCGAGTGCATTCACCCATATACAGGGTGACTGGTGAATTACTATCAATATTTAAGGAGAATACTCGGTACATGATTCTCATTCGAATTATGTTAAAAAAATAGGTACTTAATTTTTGACCAAATTTCCGTACAAATAAATAAAGTGTGGACACGTTCCAAGTGTTCCAAGTGTGGATGCGTGCGGCGGCGTGCTGATACAACACCACGCCGCCGACGTGTGCGTGTGTGTGTGTGTGTGTGTGTATACCTAATCTGTAGGGTGTTCACACGATGCATAATTAATTACATAACTTTTGGTTAACTTTACTTAGAAGTTTATTAATATTTATGTTATATTAATTTTTATTTTGTCATATATGATCGTCAAATATCACGTCCTCAAAAATCGATAGTAATTCACCAGTCACCCTGTATAAGCAATAGTTCGTATATGGTTATAAAAGATTTAAAATAAAAACACAAAATGTAAGGAATAATCTTGGGTTTTTGATATGCATTTGAATAGTTTGACTAGTGAAACTCAAGTAATTGACAATATAAGGTTTTCTTATAAATCAAATAAGTAAATTATAAATATACAATTATAAAGGAACAATTTTTTGTCTACGATTTCATCCGCATGGACTTTGGAATCTGACGCGTAGGGAAATGTATAATTTGTTAAGCAATAGTCTGTGTGAGTAGTTTTTGTATGAAAGAGCAATAAACGACCACATTTTCATAAATCTATACATTATTACATCATTATGTACAAAAAAATCCCTTCATCCGCACATACAAACATGCTCCCATACACTCAAACTGACCTCAAATAACTCAAATGACTCAAACTGAACTCAAAATATCGATACATCCACTCATACACAGATCAGCATACTTGATACTATGTACATCCATATATTCCATACATCAGTTCATACTCACAAAACTTTCATATTAATAACATTGTTATAAAAGCAATGTATATACATATATGTAAGACACATCAGCGTTACTGACACATTTATTTTACAACATATACGGATAGATTGCCGGAACAAATAGACTCAAACATAATACCTATTATTTGAAAACTACAGATATCGATGCTTAATATAACATGACTTTTATAAATAACATGAATATAACAAACGTTAATATAAAATCATTTTGATATTTACGTCCAAGTTAAGCTTCTATTTGAACATGATTCTCTTTTAATAAGGACATCATATTACAAAGCGGTAATTACCTTTAGAAACGAGATAGGCTTCAAGTGCAAACGCTATACTAGTCTTGCCGGCGCCGCTGAGTCCTGTGAACCAAATCGTGCTGCCTCTGAAGGCACGGCTTCCAAGAGCTTTGCTCCTCTTAGCTCTTGACACCTGGTGCTTCTGTTCAACTACATTTGTAGCGACTTGGGCACACTGAAATGAAGGATTATTATCAGATTGTAGAAAGCAAGTTAAAGATATCTTGTTTACCAGCAACAATTTATTCAATGACTCCATAAGGTTCTTCTATAAGGGTGTAATCAATTCAAATCATATTATAAATACATTTATATAAATATTTTGAAGGATTATCTTATTAGTTCCGTTTGTTATTAATGGTCCCAGTGATATTTTCTGTTTTAAACTATTGACATCATTAATGAATAAATCAGTTATATATGATCGGGTCGTATGATAATTTTAATCTCATAATTAGCATAACTGAGCACGTGGTCACATTTCTATAGCTATATAAGTACTTGAAGCAAACATAATGCCTTCGACTAATCATTATTTCATAATTCATAATATACTATAAATAGGTTACACGAATTTTATATATAGCGCATGATGCTAGACCGTGATTTGAGCGCATTTTCAAACTCCATAGTAGTCCTACTTATGTAAGAAATCAAATAATTATTATAAACTTAATGTTTTTAAGATTTTGAACTATTAGATTAATATGAATAGTAAATTGGTATAGATATAATAAATGTTAGGGCTTTAAATATTAACTGTCATATATTACGAAAACTTTTAGTAATTATGTCATCCCTAAAACCTAAACCAGGTCTTGGGTATTAACTAATTAATGAAATGCAAATTATTCATAGGAAAAATATGCTCAAAATATCATACCAAAAAAATTTCAAATACTCTGATATGATACAAATCTCGTTTACACTATATTATACATGTTCGGACAAAAAAACAGTATCGCTGACATTTGTAAACAAACTAAAAATCAAATCTCATTGCAACACGGATATTTAAAAAAATTCAATTAGTCTAAAACGTTCAGAAAACAATCTATTTAGGCGGAAGTGGCAATTGCATTAATTTAAACAAACAGACCAAAAAAAAATTAACCCAATAAACTTGTAGATCGTGTGACCTCGAGTAAGGTCAAGTTTAAAATTGCATATCGTACAAATAAATAGAAAAATAGCGTAACAATTTCCTCTTCCTACTTACGAGATTTATACGCTTTTCATTAAGGGCGTTTCAAATTAATTCAATTCAAAATGTTTCAAATATAACAGAACAGTCTTATAACTATTACATTTATAATGAATTTTATTTTACTTAGTCAAGTATTTTTTTTTTAATGTGACAATTTTCCTTCCTTCCTCTATATTCATCTATCTACCTTCGATAATTACAATTCCTAAATATTACATTGCTATTTAATATTATATATAAAGATTGTTTAAAATAATAAATATTATGATTTGGAGTAATTCCATGACAGTTTTTGGTTTTAATAAAAGAAATCTTGGTAATAAACAGTGTTAAGTAGATACTATCATAAATTAGCAGAATATAATTCTACTGAAATCAAGCTATAAAATTCCTCTTTAACACTAAGTCTTCTTCTTCTTCTACCTGGCAATTTCCCAGCTTTAGCCAGGATCTGCCTTACATGTTATGAATAGTTTTGGCTAATTTTTTTTACGAGCGGCCGTCTGCCTGACATCAACCCTCTTTGGGAATCAGTGACGTCTAAATACTCTTAGAAAGTACATATGACTCGGAAAAATCACATTGGTACTTGCCAGGATCGAACGCACGCCCGATGCATGAGAGGCGGGCCTTTCAACCACTAGGCCACCACTGACTCTTTAATACCAAGTCTAATACTTCTAAAAGCACTTCAATATAAGTTTTAATTACTTAAAATAATCCATGTACTAATTTTATTACGAAATAAATAATCCAATACGATTAGTCTAAACTTTTTCATTCAAGAAGAATTTGTTCACAGTATGAATATGCTAACTTGGAGCATTCACACATGGTGATATGAAAAATTAAGTAACGTATAGTAATGAGATCTAAGATCAACCGTGATCACGGGCACATCTCGTCTGCCCGTGATCACGGCTGCTGTAAAGTAACCGAAACGTCGGGAGTATGTAGTTTATAATCAAAAATAAAAATCGCGTAGTACATCCGAATAACATTAGCTTCATTTAAACGTATAGTATATTAATGAACATCAAATTATCGTACGTTAGAAATAAAACGAGATTTTCTTCACGCGGTAAAGGAGAAAGTTTTGCTATTTATGTAAAGCAACATAAATGGTATTATGTTATAGTTTTACAGTTCGACGGATTTGTTCAATCAATTTATTATTAATTAAACTTCGTGACTTGCATGTCGAAATTTTATAAAATGTTATGTTTCACTATTATTTAAACTGATAGAAAAATTACTCTCTATTCAATATGGTGCAGGAAACTTCCAATCTTTAAGACGAGAGATATCCCTACTAATATTATAAATGCGAAAGTAACTCTGTCTGTCTGTTACGCTTTCACACCTAAACTACTGAATTGATTTTAATGAAATTTGGTGGAGACATAGAGTTGACCTTGAGAAAGAACATAGAATAGTTTTTATTCCAGACTTTTGAAAAGTTCTCTTGGAAACGCGACATAACCAAACTCCACGCGGGCGAAGCTGCGGGAAGAAAGCTAGTTTTTTATATTTCTTTCTATATCGTCTATATCACACCTATTTCAGAATATCATGTTTATAACTTAAACTGTTTGGTATACAATCATATTTCCCAAACAATGGACGGTAGATAAAGTTACCTACATCATAGAATTATCAAACTATTCACTTCATCTCATCATAAAAGTTATCTTGATATACTGAATTTTGAATTATCTATTATATCAGATATGACACTTGACACCTTCAGTGGGGTTTATTTATCACTAGGAAACATCTCTTTACATAATCCATATTATCAATTTATGCAAAAAAATAAGAATCCACGAAATTCAGAGCTCGATAAAATGATAAAGAAAAGTTAGATGTAATACTTGAGACACTATTATCATAAAAAAAATATTCAGCAATGAAGAAAATCCTTTGTTAAAATTATAACAAAAATTAATGAGATTATAACGTAATTAATAATTATTAGTACTACTTATATTAAAAATGTATAATTAATATTAAATATTTGATTTTTGTTCATGTATTAGACGAATATATGCCAGGGCTTTTGACTCTAAAATAGTATGCACGAAATAGATTTGTACACGAGAGTAGTTATTTGAATCGGAAGTGTACAAGGTCTGACCATAAATGAATCTGGTCTATAAGGATTAAATACATCCTCAACAGTTGCATGTCTCATTACGTTTAGATAATACTATATCAAGGTAAATAATATAATATGTTATATACAATAAAACAATATAATTACATTAGATCAATTCGTAACACAAAAGTAAACGCATGTACTGATAACTCACGATTGTGTTAATACGACCAATTAGGATTAACATAAGTACATCCCGCAGATTTGCTTGCGACGGGGAATCTATGTATAAGAGATTTTCTTATAAGTAAAGTATAAAAGTATTGAAGGTACAAATCCTACATTATTTACTACACTCGTAAAGAAATGATCCATAAGAGTTTGTAATAATGGTTATATTTTCCATTTACATCAGATACACTTCAAATTTCAATACTTGAAATGTTATCAAGTGAAAAGAAGCAAAATAAAAGAATGGTGGAACAAAGATCTTATCGCACACTTTCATTACGCTTACACTAAATATCTAACTATGTACTCAACGTTACGAGTTTATCATTCATAGATCTTTGAAAATTTTGGGAGATTAAAAATGCTTCGTAGTATGAATATGCAAACTTGGCCTACCCATACAAAGATCTCAGGTCTACTAGATGGAACACAACTGTATATACAGGTTGTGTATTTAAAATAATTTTATACAGGGTGTTGGTGTAAATAGAAAGTTATTCTGTCTAAGCTAAAAGCATTTTCCTAACAAAATTTTCTCGTTTTTAGAGACCAGGATAAATTTCTTCCGAGTTTATAGTGTTAGTAATAATTAAATATGTGATGCACTTTATAATTCTAAGTTTAATTTTATTTATATTCTGATACTAATTGGGAATTCTTATAATAGTTAACTAGCGCCCTCTGTATGATATTGTAATCTACCCTCACCTTAATATGTTAACTTTGAATATTTTAAATATGTAGTACTGTTACGAGTTGCGAAGTAATAAACATCTAAGTGGAAGTACTGCCTAAATTATTTCTAACAATAGAAATATTTTTCGAATTGTTCATTAAATAAATTAAATTATTTGTACAGTTTAAATTAAATAGCTGTTACCTACAAAATAAATAGAAAAAAATGTATAAAATGTGGCTAAACAATAGAAATGGTAACCAATCGTCAACTACTTCAACACGTGTCTTCATACGCAATACAGCTGTTATGTATGATTTTATCGATAAAATATAAACTATGTCTTATTCCGTAATTTAAGCTACATTACATTACAATAAACTTTCAACAAAATCTGTTCAGTAGTTACTGTGTGAAAGACACACAAACATGCAGAAAAATATACAAAGTTTGACATATATCAAGAAGGAAAATATTAAGGGAGAGTTTGCAAGCCAATTTAACCATCACTAGAATGTCAATAACACAGTCTTATTTAGTTTTACGTGCTATTATTCCTACACTATATATTTAAATATTTTCTGCATAGAAGTAGAGAGAAATTGTACACTTATTGAGAGATATTTAATAATAAATACATCATAAAACGAATCCAAAATAAATTCAATCACAATAAAAGGACTGTTTACGCGTTTAGATATAAAATTATACGACATTTCCACGTCTAAAAAAAATCTTACATAATTTTAATTTCTATAAAAAGAGACTTCAATCAACTTACTAACAAAAGACGAATATATAATACCTATGTATTGTTTATTAAGAAAAATGTAAACTTTTAGAATTATTCAAAAATTTTAATTATTAACGCAGATAAAACATTAAACATGTGTTTTTTTATTATTCGGATTAATAACTTATGTCGTCGATTTTTTATTTATTTGTCGAATTAAGTGTTGTGGAACAAACGCGAGCGCCACCAATTGAGAGAGAGAAAAAACGGAAATGAATTATAATTTGTAAAATGTAATTAAATAGTATCCTACAAACTAAATTAAGAATGTGTGGATAAATTACCGAAAAATAACAATTTAAAGCATGATCCTATATAAGGCTAAAGACTAAACAGACTCTATGAATATAAATTAATTAAAATATAAAAATTAAAACAAGTTTACAAAAGAAAGCGGTGTAAGTATCTGATTTATGAGCGGATACATAATATTCTTGAGGAAATATAAACGGGTGAAAGTAAAATCGCCTTCACATCGCGGAACTATTTACTTGCCTACTTTTAGATAGTTATAAAATACCTATCATATAAAAATTAAGAATAACCATATAAAATTTATAATACAAAAAAAAAACAAACCGATCTATTATTGTTGTGTCCCCATTGCGCAATTTTGTATTTCTCAAATGTCTCTGCAATTTTTTTATTTCTCGACTCCAAACTCATTTTTGAAAATTAAATTTAAAAAAAAAAACAGTAATAAATTTTCCCGCCAACAGCGATTCGAAATTTATATGTAATTTGAACACGGCAACACGCGCGGGGCTCCGCTAGGCACTGACACCGATGAATGTTTTCCTTCACTGGCACTTTTGTTGATTACAATCGTAATATGAATTACAATTGATAAAATGCATTCGACCGTTACGTCAAATTCACGTACAATTAACACCTCACTTTTTATATTTTGTCATTGACTGTAAGTAAACAATTATTTTTTTTAAACCTAAATTGCAATAGAGAAAATTACTTCCTGCCCTTCTCTTTAATAGTATTCCTTGTAATGATTACCAGACAATAAACTTTGTCCTAATAACATTCAAGTTAGTTGTTCAAGCTATGCCAGTAAGAACATAAACAGGAGTTATTTAAAAAGATGTCACTTTGTAATTTTTACTTTATCTGACTTACATAAACAATTTAGGTGAAATAATTTAGACATATGAATAGGACAATGTTGAACAGGAAATATATACTCGCTATGTCAAGTAGTCGAGTAAAAGTCAAGAGTTATCCAAAAGTAATCTTTTACAAATATCAAAGTCTGATAAGTTTTTAACACATCCTTGATTGAGTCATTATCAATAAAGAAAATTAAAAGCAAAAAAAACTAACCCACCTTTAGCCTTTAAATGTCACATATATTACAGGTTACTTTTACCAAAAAAAATTGAGTGCATATAATTTAAAAGACTGCTTCAATTTTAAACCTTTAAAATCTTCTTCTAGAATATGTTATATTAAAAATCTCAATAGTGACATCATTCCATCAAATTAAAAGATAGAATCATTTCAAAAAAAAGAAGTGAAAAATACATGTAATTTCATAAAAGTTTTTAAGGAACCTGACATCAACGGGAAGTGAAGAAAAAATTACATTTTCATATAACACTACAATAAATTCAATTGAAAGTAAATATTGATAACTAAATAATTTTTTTGTTGCAAAAACTTATCACAATACATTATGTTTGCTGAATGAAACTATGATTATGTTTTGTTTCAATATAATTAACCTACTTGTTTATCAATTGTGTGAATGAAATGTTAGCAAAACCGTTATCGGAGAGGACTTATTCATCATATGACTTTATAATATTTTTAATCAATACATTATGTAAAAAAACCTTTTATGATTTACCATTTATATTTTTAATAATTTTTTTTTTGATACCTTCAAAGCAAAGGTTTGATATAAAATTCATCTCGAGGACATATAAATAAATACATAATGGGATATATACATTTTTTTTCTTTTGCTGTAGGTCTATAATTTTTGATGTATATACATATAGTTTAACACATAATATGTGTTTAATATATTAGTATGTTTACTGTACCATACATTTAATATAAAAGTAAAAATTTGAGTGAAAAGTGTTAAATATTATTGGTTAAATGATGCCTAAAAGTCACTGATTGTATATTAATATTATAGAGATAAGTCAGAGGCCATTACTATTAAAATAGTGGTCTTATTGCAAACTACTATAAATATGATTAAATTAATATTCAAAGCAGTACTATTATTATTTTTCAATAGAATATTCATCCCAAAAATTCTTACTAAAATTATCAAACACAGATAACTAACAAAAACAATATACATATAGTATGAATAAAAAAATAAAAAACTGCAAGTTCCCTAACATATTTAAAATTATCCTAATATTTTTTTTTTACGATATTCCTAATAAATATAATAAATGTATTTACCAATTCTTTTTTTAATTATATTTAGTAATTCATTATTTATTGTAAAAATCTATCGTAAACAATAATTAATTGCAGTTGATACTACTTACCACTTTTAATTTTTTTCTAGGTCGTGAGGGGCCTTCCATCTCTATGTATTAATACGACACAAAATCAGAGTAACTTCTATTCAACCTCAATCTAAATCTTAACGAGGTTAATTATCGAGATTTCTTATTATTAATATCACTTATCAAACAATTTAAACAGTATATTTATAATTGATACAAGATTACTAATGTAACATATATGACATTGACGGTTGAACGTCAATCGTCATATGAAAGTTTTGATCAGTCGTATACTGAGGTATAGAGGTCAAGGGGCCATAAGATGTAAATCTAAGAGTTTAAAACGTTCGAGTTCAATTTATTTTTAACATATAAATTATCAGAAAATGTATATTGTTTGGTAATATTTATATTTCATTTCATGAAATTCATTTTGTAAACATTCTCAATTTTATTTAAACAGGACTGAGCTCCACTAAATTAAACGTTTATCTACATTTTGAGATCTACACCTGAGATTCATAGAATTTGACTAATTTTAAACTTTTTACACTCGTTGTCATTTATAAAAACTATTTCATTTCAACAATAAGATTCAATAATATGACAATAAAGTTCTTAAGTATTCCATGAACAATATCACTCTCAGTTATAATGTTAGACTTGTAAATCTGTAATTTGCAGTATCATTTTTTTTATTCTTTTAAAATCTTATTTAAATCGTTCTTATATATACGTGCCAAAGACAAACTGTATTAAAATCCTCATCTTATCATACCATTCACACCGCTAAGCTTTCGATAGTGTATAACACATTATCACAATTAAAAATATATTTATGTTAAAAAAACCTTACTACTTTTATTAAAATTTTATAATCTGTAAGTACTAAATGGTTTCAAAAATAATAAACAGGTACTAGGTATAAAGTAAAATGTATTTATAGTCTTTATACTCTGTACGCATTTAAGTCATAAATCCGTAAATTGTTAAACTCAAGTTTCAATAAAATATGGAATACGTAGCAAAATCAAGAATATATTATACTTAAATAGCGGTTTTGGTATAAAATATTTACTAATTTAGATTTTGAGAGTTACTTTATCACAGTTCATTAATGAAACCTGCAAATGGTCGATATTTAACGTAAGGTAACTGTGAATATTATTGTTGACAAAATGCCTGCTGTTACCTCAATAACAGTTGAAGAACAAAATGACGATGATCAGAAAATGTGGAATGCCCTTAAAAGATACATTATACGAGAGAGACAACGAAAAAAAGAAGGTTAGTTATACTTATATTATACGCACTTAATACAGTATCGTTGGCAGGTAGAGTACTAATTTTTTGTGTTCAAAACAATATTTTATCACAGAATATGAAGCGGAAGTTGAAGAAGAAAGATTAAGAAAGGAACGAGAAGCAAGAGAAAGGCAAGATGTGATGACACTTGGTAAATATATTTCGATTTATTTTGTCAAGTAAACAACAGTCTTAGATTACATTTAGTAATTTTTTAAGTAAGCTTTCTAACTTATGACAAAAGTTTTAGCATTTACTCTTTCTAAATATAAGATTTCCTTTAGTAATATTCCATACTATTTAAAAATGACATTCAAACCATGTATTTCACGGATTCATTAACATATCATTTTTACAATCATAGGAATAACTGAAAATTCCTCGTTAGCTTAATGAATCATAGCAAAACTTACCCATTCTCATTATCATACCCATATTTCATTTAACAATACCATATGTTTATATAGCAAGAATTTTTTAATTGACATTCTATTTCCAGAACAAACAAAAGAGCAAATAGATCAATTGGAACAAAAATTAAAAGAATTGGAGAAAGAAAAGCAACAGTTATTCATGCAACTCAAAAGAGTGCTTAATGAAGATGAAACCAGAAAAAGACAGCAACAAAAGGAAACTAAGTGAGCATTGATAATTATGTAGAAATCAATTTTATACATTAATAATTTAAATTTGTACATAATAATGAATAATTTATTAATATAATGAGATCTACAGCTCTTGCAAGTATTAATTTAAATGAAACTAATATATTAAGATTATTAAACTTCTTTAATATTGTAATAAATGAATCCCGATACACAATAATCTTAGTATGACATATTGCTTGTCTATAATTATATTCACTAATTCTAATATTCATTATATTCGAAATATTTCGAAAATAAACTCTAATGCAAGTGATTTTTTTAATAATAAAATTTATAATATTTTCAGTGAAATGCAACCTATGAAGATGCCAATGGGTAATTTACAAATACCAATGTTTCCGATGCAATCGTCAACCGGCCAGGACCCTCAGCAGTCTCAAGGAAGAGCTCCGCTGTCTTCACATATATTGAATAAGGTAATAATAGTATTAAATACTAACAATAATGTATATTTTTCTGTTTATTCTGTGTAGTACCTGATTTTAAAAATTATGTAAATCGTTTGGCCACTACATATAACGACTTATTTTCTCACTAAGACATATTCAATGTGAAGAAATCAGACTTCAAAAAGGCTTTAAAAAAAGAGTTACATCTTAATTTATTATTTATACACACAAATGCATACATGCAGACCTACACACATAAACACAGATTTACACATTCTCACACATAAGAGCACATGCACTACGAACAATCTTGATAGTTAATTTTGTGATCTGTGTTTAATTAATATTTAAGTTATGCTTATAGTTTTACTTTCACTGTGTAATCCTATATTGGTCTTAGTAGTGTTTATTTATATTTTATCATGTGATTATTATAAGCACTGTTGGATTACGGAAAAAAATAAATAAATAAATATATATTACGACTGCTGTGATAAGTTGATATGAAGTTTTTTTTTAATAACTAAGCAATGATCATGTCCAGACAGCCAAAATAAATCAATTCTATCCATATACAACCTTTTTATATAATTTTTTTTCAGAACAAACATTCAAACTACATGCTGTTTCCGCAACAGCCGAATATAGTGAGAGGTCCTATGCAATCTTCTGTTAAGAGACCAAGGAGTCCGTCACCAACATATGCTTTGTACACACACAGACTGCATCAGCCACCGATGAAACAACATGCTGTCTACTCTGATCATAGTAAGTTATTATCTCAAATATAGTAAATAGAACAATTTTTTGCCTTATAAATTATAATGAAAATATCAGAGATAATAATACCATCAAATGCTAAGTGGTTATTATATATATGGATATTCCATATGAAAATATATTTTTTTATATAGGGGTGAATAAATAAATATAAAGTGTACATGCAGGAATAATATAAATTTTTTGCAGAAGTAGAGGACAATCGAATGGGCCGCCAAATGGCGCGCGCTGTGCTTTGGAACAGTGAGTTTTTTGGGGAAATGCACATTAGTTGCTACACCATCACCCATTATATCATAACATCTTTGTTCCTCCCATGCTTTTGTGAATCGTTTTTATGTTTTTCTTTTTTATAATTTCATTTATTTATAGGTTTGTTTTTGCTAACAAATCATGACCCTTCTACTATCATTCATTTCGATTTCTTGTGGCGTTTTATAGCTTGTTTTCTTTTTTACTTATACAACTAATAAGATTTACTAATATTCATTTCTTTTTGGTCGGCAACCTTATCCATGATTAACATGTTTAATATTGAATCATTCATCATCTGTAACATTGCATCCATTTTTACTTTTCATATTTAATACTACTTGAAATTAAAAAATTCAAATAACAATGTAAATTAAGAATCCAAAACCAAATTTGAAATTAAATCCAAAAAAAAGTTTTTTTAAAATTTAAACATTAATTAGATATTAATCAAACATTATACTAATTTCTTAATCTAGAAATGGTGTTATTTGAATTTAAATTTAATTCATATAACACGAACTAAAATCTATTAATATTTTTCCAGAATCAAATCAGTATTCAAATGTTGGTTCTACTGTGTCATCATACTACGCGATGCCCACGTCCGGCGTAGTGGGCGTCGTGGCCGAGCGCCCACCGCCATTGCTGTACGCCCACCACGCCCACACACCACATACTCCTCACGCTCACACACCGCATACGCCACACCAACATCATACAAATCTTATGTATGCGCCCGCGCAACCACTTTACTTGGATATGCTGAAGAATAGGGATGGACATCAGGAGAATAAGAAGGATACGCAAGTATGATATCAACTATGTACTACTACTATAATATTAGACTATATAATAATAGGTTCTAAATCGGGAGTTCCTAAACTTATTTTGTCTACTGACCGCTTGAGAACAAGTTACTTTTAGCGCCTGTTGTTACGTGAAAAACTATATTATAAATCATCTCCAGGGTCAACACAATGCCCCTCATTTTTATGGGTCTCTTACAGATCCCTTTTCGTCGTTAGAGGACGTTATCGCCCACTTTGGGAAAACTGTTCTGTAAAGTCTAGATGAGAAATCCAATAGCAATCTCTTTAGGTGAGGGATTTGAACATTTCTGTAACTTCGGATTCAGCCCCCACTGGCATATTGAGTCTGGCTATGTTGGCCTTGTTAACTTTCATTTACCATAATTATATACTACTATCTTTCCGCCCGCAGCTTCGCCCGCGTGGAGTTCGGTTATATCGCGTTTCCAAGAGAACCTTTGAAAAGTCTGGGATAAAAACTATCCTATGTTCTTTCTCAAGGTCAACTGTATCTGTACTTCACTGTTACTTTCGCATTTATAATATTAGTAGGGATTCACTCTATCAAAAATGAAAGGTACCAAGAAGAAAAACAAGTTTGGACAGTTGCTGCACTTCCTCTCTTTTAATGTGCACTTCACTAATGTCAGAAGTCTGCATAGTAATTTCTTACCAGCCACTACTATGTATAGACGATTAATCCCCACTAGTTTTTTTCTGATGAAGATACAGATTCGTACCTTACATATACAGGTTACATTCTCGTGTATAACTTTCTTCTGTGTGTTTTTCTGCAATTACTACTGTTTTCAGCGTCTCCATCTCTTTGAAGACACATAATTTTCTACCCTCTGGGTGCTGGTGGCAGAACGTGCCACCAAAAAAGCAAAGCAAAGGAATTTAATATACTTTTCATGGGCAGATGCTTGAGACGTCAACGCATCGGATGTTACTTCTTAAAAATAGTCTTCTAACAATCCATATAGTGTTGCAAATGGTCATAAAAGATATCTTGTCTCAATCGTATTAAATACAAGGGAGCAAAACTCCATTCAGCCATCCGGTATTAGAGGTTACTGGTACCTAGGCAACTTTGGAAAGCATCTCTATCCTCTTATTAAATCTTATCAGGCATAGGCTTCTAGGTCAAAGGTAAAAGCCATACTTCTTCTCCACCTGTTTAAAATTTTCGTTGGGACAACATTCCGCATTACTAATGAGAAAGTAAAGAGAACTCTGTTGTTAATGGCTTTTTGCCTAAGACAAGCGCGCTCGACGCAGAGTTCTGTCACAAAAAAAACCTCTACTCGTGCTGCAAATTAGAAATCTGTTATTATTAATAGTTGTGGGGTGAGATTAATACAGCCCACGCGCCAGCCGGGATTTATAAAAGGGGGAATTAGAGATGCAAAGACGAGTCATAGTAAAACGTGTTAATTTCACTCCTTACAAGGAGCTATGTTAATATTGAGAAAATTTAACGCCTCCAAAAATTAAGCGTGTTTTTCACCTTAAAAAGTGGGGTACGTTCACCTTGTATACAACTGTTCAGAATGTATCCTTGGAATACTCAGACCGCCTTCAGTCTAAAGTAATAAAGCGTTCTTTAGCTTTGGGTGGTTCATTGAGGGTAATATTAAAGCGGCTGCGAGCAAAATCGGTGACCTTGGAAGTGTATTTTACATTGGGTCTTTTTCTTTGGTTTATACAAAGTATATGGAACATTATTTATTGAATACTGCTGTTATATCTGAACCGGCGATGGTAAATTTCATCTTACTTCTTTGAACTTATACTCATAGCAATGTACTGAAACAGTCTATGTTCCCTCCCACTTATAATTTGGACGTCTTGAAGGATATAGTGTGAAGTCTTTTACTATGTTCGCCACCTGTGACTTGATTTCAACTAACAACAGATGCTTTGACAGTCGATTACTATCCGGTGTAATACACATACTCTTGTTTAGAGATTCTTTTATAAGAAATAAAATAAGACTCTTGCGTGAACTTCGAAATGGTGCTCGCAAACCAAACGCCAACGATGTCTATAATACTCATGACCTGACTTCATAAACAATACAATTTTTATAAATGTATACTGCGGCAACTATACGGAATTTCCAGATATTTTAAAGCTTATATACTTTTCTCATTCCATTCTGTTACATCAGAATCTTTTTAGTAGTTTTTTGGTGAAATACCAACAACCACGCGTCTAAACATCTTTACAAACTTGTACTGATAATACTAGTAAGATTTAAACAAAACACAAACAATCTAGTCTTTCCAGTAATCATACAATAATAATTCCTATATATTCCAGCCCCAAGTATTAATCGGCCTCAGCGAGTCCCACCCATCAGTTAGCAGTGGAGTAGTGTACGCGACCCCACCACCCTCAAGCAGACACCTCTCGATACACCCGGCGCCACAGCACTCCAACATGCAAGTGAGTTAATTATATGTGGACATGTGTGATATGTTGGCAGGGCTGTATCTATACAGATCATATTTAAATGGTAGAAAATATTATTCCTATTTTCTGCTATATAAAACTGTCATCAATATGAATGCGACTAGCAATCACTATAAAAATAATATTGAATATAATTTAAATCTTTTAATAGTATTATGTTTCAAAATCATATATTTTATTTTACCACAATGTCCTAGATAACTATGTGATAACCACTACCAAATGATAACAATATAGACAGTTTCTTCTAAAATTTACTGTCATGAAATATTTAATTAATATCTAAAACCACTTTAATATCTATATATTAATAATATTTCATACATTTACCAGAACACGAAACCAGGCAGTATAACCCAAGGGTATCCCGTACAGCAGTCATCTTCCACCCAGAGCGCTATGTATCAAAACAGACATCGTTATTAGCGTTGGCATAACCGACCGCCCAAGTTGCGACGGTATCCATTTATTTAAGACAATTAAACTCAAGTTGCCGGTTGTACAGTGTGATAATGATTCAGATGATTATACTGATGATGATGATGATGATTCAGTGAACATATAAAATGGTGATCAGTGATAAACTCTATATAAAGTGAAGTGACACTTGTATGATGTTTTTTAATGAAGCAATGAAAATAATTAATTGATCGCATATTTTATTTTGTTATATCATACTGGCTGTTGTATTATATAGATTATAAGTAATAATAAATAAATCATAAGAATATATATAGAAATAAGAAGATATATACATTTTATGCTATTTTATTATTATGTTTCTAAACTCTAAGTTTTGTTCAATATTTATCAAATATACATAGATAATACAGACTTATTGTTGCTTTTGTTTTAATTAATATATTTTTAGCTTCTTATATATTGCTTAAGAAACAAATTTATTGTACATTACAATTTTCTATCATGTCATAGAATAATTGAAATACTAATTGGAATTCAAAATTATATATAATAAAAAAATATTGTTAATGTGTACAGTAGATATATGGTAATATTTTCTCAACTTATCATGTTAATTAAAATATGTACAAAAAATATTATTCTGAAGTAATATTGTATTAAATTACAATATTACTTATTAAATATAATCATTAATCATATATCCGATTGTCTAAAGTCTTATGTACAAATGAGTATTTAAATGCAAAATATATTAATACGAGCTTGTAAAAATAATATTCAGAATAAATTCACTAATGTCTAATTTTTAACCATAGTAATTAGTTTGTCAATAATGTTATAATCTATAGTACGGCTGAATTAGTAAAGCTTCCTAAAAATAGCATATTGTATAGTGACATATTTTGATTAAGACAATATATACAGGGTGACTGGTGAATTACTATCGATACTTGAGGACGTGATATTTGGCGATCATATATGACAAAATAAAAATTAATATAACATAAATATTAATAAACTTCTAAGTAAAGTTAACCAAAAGTTATGTAATTAATTACGCATCGTGTGAACACCCTACAGATTAGGTATACACACAAGCACACACACATGTGTGGCGGCGTAGTGTTGTATCAGCACGCCGCCGCACGCGTTCACACTTGGAACACTTGGAACGTGTCCACGCTTTATTTATTTATACGGAAATTTGGTCAAAAATTAAGTACCTATTTTTTTTTACATAATTCGAATGAGAATCATGTACCGAGTATTCTCCTTAAATATTGATAGTAATTCACCAGTCACCCTGTATATATGCTTGTATGGGGCCGTCCATAAATTACGTGAATTTTTGTTAAGTTTCTGTCCCTCCATACCCAATATCACGTAACATTTTTCAAACTGTGGATTTCTTACGTTACACGTTAGATTATTATTTATTATTGTAAAAAGGAATAATAGTATATATTTTTGTTTCATTTAGATTAAATGAGATTTGACTCGATCCCTCCTCCCCTTAAACATTTCACGTATTTTATGGAATGACAAGTTTATTGTAGTAATTATAGTGGAAATATAGAAATAAGATAAAATTTTACTGACAAATAATTTCTAATCATCTCGCTGAAATTAGAAGCTTGAACATTTATTTGTTTTGGTATAACTCTGAAACTGGTGAAAAGTTTAAGAAATACCTGGAATTGTGCTTACTTTTTTAATTTTTTATTCATACAATCAAATAAAGTTTGTTTTAATAATAATATAATTTTTAAGTTTTTTTATCATTTATTTATTCCCTTCATCCGTTATATAAAACATAGTTATTTTCCATATTTTGTTTTAGAGCGGTTTCCTTCTAGTTTTTATATAAATATATAAAAATATATAACACTTTAAGGGATAAATTAAAATATTTAATACTGCTCTGTTTTTTATTTTCGACTTTGGATCCTATATTTTTAACCTCTAAAGTTTAAAGAGCGATGTACATTATTTTAAACCTAAAATTTTAATGTTGCAATACTTTAAAAATATTGACGTGTTTTGGTAATTTACGTTTATGTTTTATTAATATTTTTTTCGCCATATAGAAATATTCTTACGACATATCCCTCATATTGGCATTTTGGCAACGTAATCGTTTCTTATGTTCTCGATTCATATCTTTATAGGTTGGTTCTATTTATATTTTTGTTAATTCTATATAATATGCAGTAAATTATTATTAAAAAAGTTTTATAACAAGCTATAAAACTTAAGTTTAATATTTTTTTATACAAATTACAGAAAAATAGGTTTACCTACGCAAAACAGATAAATACTTTTTACCAGAAAATTCTATTTTTTTTTCAATTAAAAAAATTATAACTCCGCACGTAAGGTGAACGAAATATTCAAATAGGTGTTGAATTAGCGTCAAAAAAGAGGTGTGTTACAACATATTACCCAATCTATTTTATTTCTTTTAATATAAATAATTATTAAATTAGAATAAAAGACATTAAGTAATAAATACATAATATGCATACCATAATGTTAAAATCATAAAGCAACATTTTGATATCGGTTTTGTTCAACTCTAACCCCGGTAAAGGTGCATAGGAAGGCTGTTTGACCTGCAAGTAGGTCGTAGAAGCGATCGATGAACCGCATCTTACCACAGACTATCCGCTGATTGATACTTCGCCTAGCTACCTAATTGGTGTACTATACATACAATGTTATTTATTTTATTCTATGGCTTCATTCACGTTGAATTTGTGGAATTTGCCAACGTCAACGTTTTTACATATCGAACGAATTATAATGTTATTTTGAAAACACTTTACATTACACGAATTCTACAGTTATTCTTTGTGAGATTCTTGACATTAATTCTGTTTTATTAATTCAATTTACATATAAAGAATTTTAATAATGAAATGGATATTAGTTTTGTTAATAATACCTAATACAATTTTGAAAATGACTTAATTGATCCAACTAGTGAAATGGTTTCGTGAGTTCGTGACTGTAATTCAATTTACGAATCATACCAATCCTGTTGGCTAATTGCACTTGAATACAGAAAGGGCACATAAACTGAATGTATTTCAGACGAAAACTGTAATGTAACGTTTCAAATATTGTACTTTAGAAGACAATTATATGGCTTAAAGAGTTAGGACGAAGAATTATTACGTCATTAGATGTTTTTAAATTTGAAAGGATGAATTAAATATAAGTGTACGGGTTTGTACATTAAAACTATGCGCTGGTTCGGTTATTCACTATTTATTTTCTACACGAATTACAATTCTGAACACTGTTAATAATCTTCCGTTTCACTGTTCGCTGTTGAAGTCTTCCGTAGTTCTTGAGTTCCGCTGACTGATGTTCTTCCGATGAATTCCGCTCACTGACTGCCCTGAGTCGGCCCGTCGGCCGGCCTTTTATATCCGCGCGGTGATCTCACCGCGCCTTGCCGGTGTTTGAGCGAGCGCGCCGGCGCTCGCCCAATCAGGAGCTTGCGATGTTGAGCGTACATGATCATTTTACAGTTACAAGTTGTGTCTTATTTTACATTATACATATTTTCTATATTATTTATTTACTATACTTAGCTGTTTATTTACATTATATCTTATATTACATGTTACATAGTTTCTATCGCTATTTATTTTAACTATATATTTTATTCTATATTATTTCTACGATGCTATCCCGCACATCTCTCCCGCCGTACGACTCGTCGTACCCTTCGGTGCGGGTTCTTCTGTTGACATCGGCAGGATCACGAGTTTTCTGACTGGACGACGTAGTTCACCTCCCTTGGTCCGCACGTCCACCGTACGTACCACGCCGTCTGGTCCTGGATACGTCGCTATCACGCGACCACGAATCCAAGTGTTCCGAGGTAGGTTGGTGTCCACGATTAGCACCAGGTCATCCACCTGTACTTCAGGTCCCCTTCCGTTTGGCTCCCGCCGGTGTTGAAGCTCGGGGAGATACTCCTTCACCCAGCGAGACCAAAACTTATCCGCCAGTTGTTGTCCCGCTCGCCAGCTCGACGTGGAGATGGCGTCCTTTTCGTTGAACGTTCCTGGTTGGGGTACCCGACCTGGTCCGCCTAGCAGGAAGTGGTTAGGCGTGAGCGCCTCTGGATCTTCCTCATTGACCGAGACATGTGTCAATGGCCGACTGTTTACTGTATACTCCACTTCCGCGAGTAGCGTGTTTAGTACCTCTTCTGTTGGGTGGCGCTCGTTTAACGTGGCGGTCAGGGCTGTCTTCACTGACCGTACCATTCTCTCCCACGCTCCACCCATGAATGGCGCTCCTGGAGGGATATAACGCCAGTTGATTAATTTCTGCGCGGCCTCTTCCTTGGTTGCTCCGTCAATTGCTTCTCTCATTTCCTTGTCCGCCCCTTTAAGGTTTGTCCCGTTGTCGGACCAGATCTCCGTCGGGTATCCTCGGCGAGCGAACATTCTTCTTAGTGCCATTACTGCTGAGTTCGTGGTGAGAGAGCCGGCGACCTCGAGGTGTATAGCTCGAGTGGTGAGGCACGTGAAAATTGCCACGTACCTTTTCTGTCGAGATCTGCCCACTGTTATTGTTAGTGGGCCGAAGTAGTCAACCCCCGTGTAGGTGAAGGGTCGCTCGTGGTGGGCTAAGCGACACCCCGGTAAGTCCCCTGTTCTTGGGTATGGCGGTTTCTGAGCTCTCACCCGGCAGAGTAGGCAATTCTTTAGCAATGACTTTATCGTGGGGCGTATTCTTAGCACCCAATATTGTTGTCGGCATTCGTTTAGTGTCGTTTCTACGCCGGCGTGATGGAATTGCTTATGGATATATGTTATCCATAACCTCGTGATCGGATGGTCTCCGCAGAGCACCATAGGTCTTTTGAACGCGTCCGTCACGTCTTGGACCGCGTTAATCCTGCTCCTGATACGTATTGCCCCTTCGCTGTATTGGACACTCAGCTGGTGGAGACGACTCTCCTTGTTGATTTGTTCGCCGTT